TCAATTGTACGCATATATTTGCCACGACACGAAATGTTAAAATCATCAACAAATAATGACCCATCAATTTAGTCATTTAAAACAGTTGCCAAACTGTTAATCTTAATACTAATTAAAGTGACAGACAATATACTGCCTTGTGGAACACCCTGGTCCTGATTATAATGATCAGACAGGGTAGAACCTATACGGACTTGAAATTGCCTGTCAGTTAAAAACTTTGACACAAATTGAGGCAAACGGCCTCTCAAACCAAAATCATGTAAATCTTCCAAAATACCATGTTTCCATGTTGTATCATAATGATAATGCCTATTGTAGATAAAAAAAGATTGATACCGCATGCTGTTTATGGCATTTTTTATAAATGAATCCAAACATACTAAATGATCGATGGTACTTCTGTTTTTTCGGAAACCACATTGAATGTTAGTAATTAAATTTGGTTTCCAAGTACCAAACCAATCTGTTGTTTACCATACGTTCCATGGATTTACAGACACAGCTAGTTAATGATATTGGTCTATAATTTGACAGGTTTAGGTATAGGGATTACAATGGCATTATGCCATGATGGGGGAAAATTCCCCGAAGTCCAAATTTGATCAAAAATGTTTAAGAGTGTCTCAAGACATGACTGAGGCAAATGCTTCAGGGGCTGATAGTTTATATTGTCATCTCCTGTCGCAGTATCATGAGCTTGGCAAAGGGCAGTATGTAGCCCATGGAGTGAAAACACTTCATTATAAATCTTCACCATTGTCTGAGGTAAAATTAATATTTTTCTTTTTCTCTTGACTCTGGCATTTCTGAAATTTTGGAGCATAATTCGCTGATGAAGAAAGTTTAATGAGTGTTTCGGCCAACTTATTTGCGATATCAGTTTTATTTGTTAGTGGACGATCACCATCTTTGAAGTGGTCAACGCTAAATTTGGAACTTTTTCCTTTTATCCTTTGAATCATATTACACACCTTGGACATAGGTGTTCGGGAATTGATCCTTGAGACATAATTTCTCCATGACACGCGTTTATTGTGTTTAAAAGTACGTCGTGCTTTTGCATTTGTAATTTTAACATGATTCAAGTTATGAACAGTATGGTGTCGGCGAAACTATTTTTCTGCCTTTTTCCTTATCTTTCTAGCTTGTTTGCATGTATTATCAAACCATGGTTTTCGTATGTGTGGGTTTGCAGAGGACGTGATATCGTTTCATCAGTTATTTCATTCAATTGATCCGAGAACAACTTAATAGGATCAGGAGCATTCTCGAAAATGTCACGTGTTAACTTGTCAGTACAGAGGTTTTGAAACAAAGACCAGTTGGCCTTATCAATATTCCACCGCGGAACGTCAGATGGGTTATTATACCCCTGCCCAACAAAGTTGGCGGGGGATATAGAAACGGGCTCCGTCCGTCCGTCACGTTTCGTTTCCGGAGCACAACTCATAAACCGTTCAATATTTTTTCATCAAACTTTGCAGATGTGTGAGGTACATACTGAACTGGTGCCTTTGGATATTTATAAATTTAAGAAATTTTTATTTTTTACGTTTCCATGGCAACAAGATGGACTTAGGTTCTGTGAGGGTAGGGTTCGTTTCCGGAGCATAACTCATAAACTGTTCGATATTTTTTCATCAAACTTTGCAGTCCTGTCAGGTACATGCTGAACTGGTGCCTTTGGATATTTAGAAATTTTAGAAATTTTTATTGTTTACGTTTCCATGGCACCAAGATGGACTTAGATTCAAAACTCTTCTTTTTTTTCAATTTCAATGACAAGTTCCACCTCGGGTTAAAAAAGTTAGGGTTTGTTTAGATTTAATTATGTCATACATTCTGCAACAGGGGCGGGGGATATAGCAACGTTAGTGGCAAACTCTTGTCAGTTTTCAGACTTGTAGTGAAATGGTCGCTTCCACACAAATCATCATCGACCGACCATGTAAATTCATTCAACAAGTTAGAATCTGATAATGACAGGTCTAACGCAGAATACGTCCCAGTAGAAGGATGTAAATATATATTGGAACCATCATTAAAAATACATATGTTATTATCAGAAATAAAATCCTCAAGGAGTTTCCCTTTAGAATTTAGATTGATGCTTCCCCAAAAGGGAATCTGACCATTCAGATCACCCATTATGATACACGGTTTAGGAAGCTGATCTTATAGAGATTGTAGTTCAGAACGATTAAGATTAGAGGAGGGAGGAATATATAAAGAGCACAGAGTAAATACAATGTGCAGGAGTGGTGGCATTTAGCAAAGGTTTTGCATCATGGTATGGAATATTTTTGTGAACTTTGATTTTGACTATCTCATACTAACGCTTCCAGCTTTGACATGACTTTGATGAAGATATATGGTCTCCGGAGCAGTTGGAGGTGTCATACAATCAGAACCCTCATGGGCGTCTTTACCACATCTGTAGCATGTCATGCGATTCCCAGAATCTACCCATTGTAAGAGGTGACTTACGAAATCGGGCGGATAGGCTCGTTCGGTAACTAACCCTGCCGTCACATAGCTGTATCCCATCAACAACAAAATACGCTTACATACAGTAAAATTATGTTTTAATTTGAGTCAGTTGTTTATCTTAATCCGAATCAGAAGAGTCGTGGAGAATGGTCCTTGCTCGGGCAACACCTTCCTTGGCTTGAGTCTCCCTCTCTGAAAATAGAGAATATATATACAGACTGAGCTGAAAGTTGCTGTTAAATTACGTGAGAGCAGCACAACATACTTTATCAAAGTATCTTTCATTTTAAAGAGACAAATGGTTGTTATTGTACACCACTGCCAAGTACTAGTACTTACAAAATAACCAAAATGACTATATATGCAAAACATGTTATAAAACAGTTATATTAAAACATGGCCGATGCTTTTTGGACTGGCACAATATTTATCATACAGCCATTATGGCACGTAGAAAGAAATAGTTCTAAGAATAAAAAAAAAAAAACAAAACAAAAAAAAAACACCCATAATTTGTGTCATCTAAGGATGGTCCAAATTATTCAAAAGGTGACCTTAATAACATATTTACTGTCATAACAGTATATAACTAATTAAGAGAAATGTAAGTATATGATCTCATCTTACCCCTCTTCCTCTCTGACCTGTCTTCTCCCCCATCTCTGTCGTGTACAGGCTCCAGTGTCCAACCCAGACCGCGCGATTCACGCTAAACAAAATCAAATCGCCCCTCATAAAAAAACTCTGTCGCACACAGTAATTTCTTGAACAGTCACTTACTTTATCAGCTGTTTATCCCTACCTTTAGATTCAATACTCACTAAATCTTTAATCAATTAACGAAGCATGACAGTTCACAGCAAACATTGTAAACAACTGTCGAAGACCGATCGATAATAAAGGGAAATTCGAACACGAGTTACGTCCCTTGGGTTGCTGAATAAATTATCGACAGGATTTGCATGGGAAACGAAATATAATTTACTTTAGTAGAAAGCGTATCAAAACTTTGATCAAATTTATGTTGTATTTTGTTGTTTTAGACTTGACTAATCAAAAACCTTTGACAAGATGTTAAAAGAGAAGAAATATTCTATCTTGAATAGTTCTGAAAATATTTTTGAGCATTTTAGTTCGTTTTAGTTTCGTTTCTGAAATCATACAATATGAATCGCCGACCGTCATTGCAGACGATCTTTTGATTCGAATCGTGAAAATGTCGCGCAAAACCAAAAAAACTACAGATTTTTTGAAACAAAAGAGATGTTATAAAAAAGACAATGATTAAACCACAGTCACAGTTACTTCTCAATCTGAAGAGGAAGAGGAAATCGATCCCGGTCCTAGTGACTCAAGAAAAGCCAAAACAAGCGTATTTCAGAAAAAAATGGTTGAAAGAGTGGCCGTGTCTCTACCAAAATGAAACTGGTGCAATGATTTGTGATTATTGCAGTCAAAATAAATTGAGTAACACTTTCATTGGCGATGGCTGCAATAATTTTAGAACATCCACACTATCCAGACATGCACAAACAGGCGATCACCAGTTGTCTCTCGTAGCTAGGACAAAGTTGCAAATCACAATAGACACACGATTGACACAGTGTACTTGCTTTGTAAGGAGAACATTGCTATTGAAAAATATGGTTCTCTGTTAGAACTGTTGGAGAAGGAAGGGTGCACCAATGTTACAAATGTGAATGTTGGGGGTAATGGCACTTACAGATCACGACATGCTGCAAATGGCTCAGATAATTGAAGATTTGAAGGATGCTTATTGTGTTGCAATATTAATTGATGAAAGCACAGATATTTCAGTGACAGAAAAGCTCATTTTATATGTTAGATTAGTTGACAGCAACTTTGATGTGAGATCACATTTTCTTGGAAATTTCAACTTGGGTGAAAAATCTGCAGATGCCATAACCCAGAAGCTCCTTGATATTTTCCAGGAAATTGGTGTTGATGTAAAAAAGATTCTTTGTTTTGGATCTGATGGTGCCAGTGTAGTGACTGGTTGTAGAAACGGTGTGGCGGCAGAGCTGAGAAGGTCATCCCCATTACTTATCAACGTGCATTTTGTTGCACATAGGCTTGCCTTGTACAAGCCAGTCTGCTGCCAAGATTGACATCATGCAACAGTACAAAACTACTCTGACAAACCTGTACTATTATTTCAAGGGATCATCTGTCAGAAGCAGCAGACTTGCCAAATTACAGGAAGTGCTTGATCAGCCTCACATCAAAGTGAGAGAAATGCATGACATTAGATGGTTCAGCTTTTACAATGTGTTGGAAGCTATTCACAAATCCTGGGAAAGCCTGGTTGTTTATTTTCAATCAACTGAACTGTCAAAGGATCCAAAGGCTACAAATCTACTGAATTCAATCACCAACTTCAAGTTTGCTGCCCTGACCTGGAGTCTTATGGATGTTATTCCAGTGATAACTGAGCTTAGTTTGGTGATGCAAAAAGACCACTTGTTGCCAGTACCATTGATAAACTTCAGTACCTGAAAGAAAACGAAGGGCATTACACACATGAGTTTCAATCTCTGTTGACAGATAGCAATCACCTCTATGGCCATGAAATGAAGTACAAGACTCAACAGCAGGCAGCTGTGAAGACTACCATGACCACCTTTCTTAGGAGGCTCATACAGAACCTGAACACTAGATTCCCTCAAGACAGTCTCACAGTTGTTTCATCTTTTGATGTATTGGGTTTCAGAGACATGGCATTTGTTGTTGAAGATGATCTCCCCAGTTATGGTGAAGAGAAGTTGAATGTGCTGATATCTCAATATGGCAACCCTAGGGATGACATGCACCCCCTCATTGATTCTAAGTCAACCAAACAAGAATTTGACTTGTTGAAGAGATTCCTTCTTCAGCAGAAGTATCCAAGATACAGTTTCCCAAGGTTATGGAAAATCATTGATGGTTGCCACAGAGATCTCTTCCCAAACTTATTGAAACTTGCTTGCATTGGGTTGACTTTGCCAGTGCAGACAGCAATATGTGAAAGGGGGTTCTCCAATCAGAATATGATAAAAACATCACACAGAAACAGATTGGGAGAGAAAACACTCAAAGAGCTAATGATTATTAGTATTGAGGGTCCACCTGTCTCAAAGTTTGATGCTCCAAAAGCTCTGGAAGAATTCAAAACAAAGAAACAAAGAAGGGTCTTTCAGAAATTCTCTAGATTAAGCAACCAATGAACTGTTTTGAACTAGGGTGACTATCTGTTTGACTGTACGGCTAAAGTGCTTCTTATTCATTCAATCATTATTGGTCATTTGGATTTATTGAATTTGATCTGTTTTCACTTTCGAACTGGTCAGTGGGGTGACTCCTAACTGTTTGACTCACTGTACTGCTTAATCATTCATTATCAATCATTATTGGATTTATTGAATTTGATCTGTTTTGAACTGGTCAGTGGTGTGACTGTGAATCCATTCACTGTATCTGTTTGACTGTACTGCTTCTTAATCCTTCAATCGTTATTGGATTTATTGATTAAAATTTGATAGAAAAAATCACAAGGCATTGTTATTCATTTCAGTTCTTTATTCTGATCTTTTACACTTTTATATGATGATGTTCCAGTGCATAATACACAATAAGACATTTTTGAAGAAAGCGGTTATTCCCCCTACTTTTTCAAAATCCCCCCTATTTTCTACATGGGGGGGGGGGGACAGTCCCCCCTTCATTTTTCAATTCTGGGTTGGACACTGAGGCTCATTTGAAGATTATTGACAATTAAGACCCTTTAAGGCTGAAGTTATTCTGAGGCTCTTCATTTTGGGGCTTTGCCCAGGCAGTTGAAGAGCCGTGCCATTGTTGTAAACACCAGTGACGTCATTCTGTTCACCACCTCTCAACCAGCTGTTTATTTCTCAATCCGAAACACAAACGTTGTGTTGTAACAACGTTGCCTTACATTTTACAACCACCAGTATCGGTCGGAACGTGGCTTAAGTCAGCACATAGCCAGTGGCTTATTATCGGCGGCGTATGTGTTGTGTGTCGGAATGTTTATGATCAGGTGCGTCATCTAAGTGGATTGGCTGGGTTTTTCGCGAGTGTGTGAGTGAGTATGGTTTTACGCAACTTTTGCAATATTCCAGCAATATCACGGCGGGGGACATCAGAAATGGGCTTCACAGATGGGTATGTCGGGAATCGAACCCTGGTCTTCGGCGAACGCTTGAACCACTAGGCTACCCGACCGCCCTTGATAATCATTGACATTGATGTCCCCGCGATTTTGGGGATAATTTGCATACATCGTGCTGCCAAGTTTGCGGTAAAGTTGATGCTCGTTCATATTAGGCCATTTACTTTAGTAGTGGTTGGTTGGCACACTTGGCGATCATGAGGTTCCAAATTCTCTCTTGTATGGCGTGCTGACCATCTAAGTGTCTGGCAACCATTGGACTGAATGTTGGTAAAGGAGACTTCATTAGTGCTTCAGTCACTGAGATTGCATCTGCAAAATAAATATAGCGCCATGTGAAAAGAAAACAACATTCCTTGAAAGGAATAATCGCATTGGTATACTGTATGATTTTAATAATATATCTCTATATGAATATCACCAACTTACTCAGAGACGTGCTTGATGGCGACTATGAGTCCAGACGCTTCATGCCCTCATAAAATTGGGTTTGCCTACTCTTCAAATAAGCCTTGTTGGGCCGCTAAGGCCAAAGTGAACTGTAAAAAATCACGGTGTGTTACTAATAGCATGGGGAGAGTATGCGCCTAACTGACCGTTTCCCAAAGTTTATTTACTTCGTCGTCGGAAAAACGGATCGGATCTGTTTGGCAGGTTGCTTAAATTTTCCCTTTCTTTTGAGATCAATTTGTCGCGAGGGAGAATGGCCTCAATAGGGGCCTACATTCATTGTGAGACGACAGAAATTCATCCACAAGGTTCATGATGCAAAAAGTCTTTTTGGCAGTGCTTTTGTTTTCATTCATCTCTACCCGCCGTGATATTGCTGGAACATTGCTAAAAGCGGCGTTAAACCTCTCACACACTCATTCATCTCTATGATTTGATCAGTATCTTCATTCTCAACTGAACGGTCCTCAACTAGTTTTAATACACTCTGTGATATTCTAGTTATTGTACTGTCCTTTGCTGACAGGTTTTTTATAAATTATATATACTTATTTGTTATTAATGTATTAATTCTCGTCACGATATGGCTGAAATATTGCCGATGTGACGTTAAATATTAACTCACTCACTCACTCAACTGAACGGAATCTTGAATTCGTTTGCTCGGAGATGGGCATTATCAAACGTGGGATTGGAGATGGTATCTTACTTAAACGATGTCCTTCGTAATAAGTCCATTCGATAGAAGGATTTTTCAAATGAACTGTGATCTAATATACCAGTAATGTGTCCACATCCGCAATTGTCAAGTCTGACTCGACCGCCGATCGACAGCTGCGACGCCATGTATGTATACACTGATAGTCCCTCTTTTGTTGTTAAACGCCGCACTGTAAATAATCGGCCAAACTCGTGAAGAGCCGGGGTAGGTCTTCAGCAACCCATGCTTGCCGTAAAAGGCGACTATGCTTGTCGTATGAGGCAAACTAACGGGATCGGGTGGTCAGGCTCGCTGACTTGGTTGATGCATGTCATCGATCCCAATTGCGTAGACTGATGCTCATGATGTCAATCACTGGATTGTCTTGTCCAGACTCTATTATTTAGAGACCGCCGTCATATAGCTGGAATATTGCTGAGTGCGGCGTTAAACAACAAACCTACCAACAACCAACTCAGCAATATTCCAGTGATATGATCCCGTGAAGATTCCGGGGTAGAATAGGTCTTCATGCAGCAACCCATGCTTGCCGTAAAAGGTGACTATGCTTGTCGTAAGAGGCGACTAACGGGATCGGGTGGTCAGGCTCGCTGACTTGGTTGATGCATGTCATCGATCCCAATTGCGTAGACCGATGCTCATGATATCAATCACTGGATTGTCTGGTCCAGACTCGTTATTTACAGACCGCCGTCATATAGCTGGAACATTGCTGAGTGCGGCGTTAAACAACAAACCAAACCCAGTGATATGACGGTGGTCTGTAAATAAGTCTGGACCAGACAATCCAGTTATTGATATCATCCACGCATTTGGGATACGATGACATGTATCAACCAAGTCAAGCCTGACCACCCGATCCAGTTAGTCGTCTCTTACGACAAGCTTAGTCGCCTTTCGCGGCAAGCATGGGTTGCTGAAGACCTATTCTACCCCGGATAAGGCTCGCTGACTTGGTTGATGCATGTCATCGATCCCAAATGCGCGTGGGTCGATGTTCATGATGTCAATCACTGGATTGTCTGGCCCACACTCGATTATTTAGAGACCGGCGTCATATAGCCGGAATATTGTTGAGTGCGGCGTAATACAATAAACTAACTTTCCCGTTCTTTTCTCTCAGGTATTTATCTTCTTGTTAAAGTTTCGCCTCCTTTCTTGGTTGCTTTCTGTTATTTTGTTTTTCGTCCTCTAGCTAGCTGTCTGTATCTTCTTTGCTGGGAGAGATTTCCTTATGTCTTCATCTGAGCAAATTTTGGGAACACCGTCGGCTTGTAAACATTTTTGAGAACGGCTCGGTACTTTGGGAAGAACCAAATATTTATTATATTTGGTTGTGTGGACTGGTTACGTACGATGTAGAATGTAAGGAGAGTGACGGGATGTCTGTTTGAAGGGTTGAGATGTGTGCAGTTTTAGATTGCACTGGCGCATGAGGGTTTGTAGGGGATGATGACGGGAGTTGTTTGTATGGTTGTTGGAGTGCTTGCATGTTGGACAGGAGACGAGAATGCATATTACGATGGTATAACTGCAGCCGAAGGATGTGATGAGGTTTCCTGACTCACCCGAAACTCACCCGAAACTCACCCGAATCTCAGCTTGGCAAATATGAACGTTCTGACCGCGGGTGGAGCTACAGGGATTGATGGAATGGTTTGGATGTATTGAAGATGGCGCTGGGCTTTAATTTCTCATTATCAATTACTTTGCCAGGATTGAGAGGAAACAGGCCAGATTCAAAGAAATCCCTCTTTGCATTTTCGTTGGAAGCTGCCCTTACCCAAACAGTTTTGAACACGCTGGCAAAAGTATATTTTATAACGCATTCATCGATATTTGAAACCTAAACATCGCACACAGACTGACGCCATGCATGCTGGAGAGGACTAAACATGCTCAGGTCCAAAGGTTGAATAACGTGTGATGCGTGTGACGGGACACAAACAGTGCACGCTGTTATCTGGCGATTCCCAAATTGATATAATATGTTAACCGAGAAATATGTACGTTAAATAACTTAGTATGAAACCAACAAACGATATAGAATTAACACTTGTATTACAAAATGATCGATGCTCGTGATGTCAATCACTGGATTATTTGGTCCAGACTCGATTATTTACAGATCGCCGTCATACGTACGGATTGAATATTGCTGAGTGCGGCTCTAAACAAGAAACATACAAATCAAAACGATGGAGTGTGTCAATGAGTCAACTATCAATACTACTTTAAGGTTTAATCTTTTTCCACAAGCATTTAATGAATGACGTGACACAACTCATTATTGCCCTCAGGACCCGTGAAGATCCGGGGTAGAATTGGTCGTCAGCAACCCATGCTTGCCGTAAAGGGCGACTATACTTGTCATAAGAAGCGACTAACGGGATCGGGTGGTCAGGCTAACTGACTTGGTTGATGCATTTCATCACTGGATTGTCTGGTCCACTCTCGAGTATTTACAGACCGCCGTCAATTAAACGACAAATCAATCAACTCATGGGTGAAAAAAAATATTCCATTTTTACAGCATATGCCCTTCATTGCCACGATACTTCTCAATTCTTGTCATCTATGAAAATGTGTTGTCATCGGATCCCTCACATAAGCACGTCCTGTTATGTGCTATTTAACTCGCGACTTGATGTCGTTGTAAGCCGAGACAGGACATGCACATATCCATCGTACACATTTTTCACAGTAGTACGCGCCATTTGGCAGACCTCATGCATAAGTCATACGGGGTTAATTGTCAGGACACAACTCAACTTATTCTGGCTTACCAGTAAATGGTGTTGCTTACGGAAAGGCCTATTTCGTATTCGGAGCAGATATCCTTGAACATAAGGAATATATGATGACAGAATAATTTGAGTTTGTTCAAAAGGTAAAATATTATTGGTATTATAGAGTCTCTAGGGCAGTTTATTATTTATATTGAACAGGATAATAGGCAGTTTTTAAAGTTAAATGTATGCGGCTGTGCTCATATTAGTGAATCGTGCTATTAAATTTGGATGTGATGTTCACAACGGTGATAATAGGTTAATGTGTTGGCCAGATATATTTCTAAATTCATGAGTCTGAGCCAGTGATTGATATCATTAGAGACGCCCCACACCGTCGTGGTTCGAGGTTTGCAATCAAGTAAGTCAGACCAACGGATACATTACACTCCACACCATTTAATATTGTGTAAAGGCCTATGATTTGTGTTCGAGACAAAGTTTATTTCAATCAATGACCCGAATATCAGATGGTCGGCCCCTGACGACAAGATCAGGTTACTATAGACTAACTTTAACTCGGACTCCAAACGTGTAATAAGCATACACTGTCAAGAGGATGGTTCTGTTGTTAAGTATGCATTTGATAAAATGATTATTCGTACGTCCACACCGTTTGTTTTACCAATGTAGTTAACTCTACAGGCAAATTACATTGGATTGAGAAAGTTATTTTGTCGATACAAAGCAACTTTATTGAACTAGGAAACACCAATATTTTCCATCACATACATAAAGGTAATTAAACCAAAAACACTGATTAAGACAGAGAAACAATAAAATAAACAACCTGGTGCTATTTAAACAATATCAGCAGAACATTTCGTAGACAAAACACATGAGAAACGGGAAAAGCTGTATGTTTTGGTAAAGTAATATAACAAATAAAAGCTCTGTACATTCATCTCCAGATTAGGGAAATACGTGAGATCTTTCTGATAGAATAATCATATCGGATCTTCAACACACAGTTGAAGTAGTACTGCTCAGTAGTTTGACTTTGAAGACTGATACATATTGGGATAAATAGATGGCATTATATATGTAGTCGACTGGCATTGGTTTGAATATATTATTACATGTAAATCTTTCATTCGTCAATTAATATATACATGAAGTGTTCGTAAATAACAATTGTAACTGTATGACGAAGTTGTGAACAAACTGTGTAACATTGTAACATTTGAACAACCCCCCCCCCCCCCCCCATACACACACATAATTGAGGCTTATATTGTCAAACAAAAATAAGGTAAAATAAGATTATACTCTCAGACACAATAACAGGCATGGGCGAGCTATCCCGATTGATTTTTTAGATATTTATTATAATAATTACACTCACTGTGCTCACGCAGGATAGATATGCCTGTCCTTGGTGTCACGAGCCGAAAAGAGACAACTCTCATTTATTTTAGTATATTTCAGTTTTAGTATATCCCAAATTGCTTATACTCCAGACGAGTGAATGTATACCTTATACTATAGATATAATTGTTGTGTTGATGGCCTCTAAAAGGTCATTTATGTAATGTTAACGTTATTGATTGGCAAATTAAATATGTAGTTTAAATGTTCTGTTTTAAATACAAGAATAGGTAGTGGTTTATGCATATTTTAGTATCATCCTTGTTGAGAGCGCATTAATAGTGCAGTTATCATATGATACATGACATCTTCCCGAGGCAAGAGAGTCAACTGACTTTAAAAGTCCAGTTTCCACCCATGCCGAACTAGACTGGAATTATTGGGCTCGATCGTAGCGCCACCAGTGGCTCTTACCAGTTATGTCCCATCTAGGCCTTTCCTATCGACCAATCAGATTCCACCTCTCGTCTCACTTGCGTTTGCTTCATACAAAATGGTGGCGCCCAGTCAGGACGATTTTGATCGATAATCAAGATCTATATTGTGATAAAACGGGTCTTACATCGCGAAAAACATCAAATCACGTGAGCACCATGATTAAAAACATGAAAAGATTTGGAAAATATCTGCTGACAACGAGTTGGTGGTGCACATGTTTTGCCAATCCTGCAATCGACCGAAATCTGCGCGACAGTTTACAAACCGGATTTCCATTTCGGTGCGCGATTTTGACTGGACTATGCATAGACTCGTTAGTCCAGCCAACATGTAACTCCATAATACCAGCCAAGTTCGGCAAGGGTTGACACTGGGCTTTTATAGTCAGTATATATATATACTTTCATATTTCACAAGGTATGACGTATCGTCTTTCCAAAATCTCAGTGTATTATAAATATAGGCTGTTTTTTTATAAGAATTGATTGTATTTTCTGTGTCTTGTGTGGGAAAAATGATGATGGTGATGTGTTCAGTGTCTGTTGTTCTGTGTGGTTGGATTGTGGGTGGTAGTCTGTAGTTTGTCTCATAGTTCTCTACCCGTTGTCAATAGCAGGATCTAATAAATTGTTTTTAGACTTATGGTAGACATCTGCAGATATAGCCGGGGCTATCGGGAGTTTCACAGGTGCCTTGAAACACGGTTAGCATTCAGGTAATCCTTCACTATTGCAAAGCAAAACCTCAATTGGACCTGTAGAGAAAGAAAGCATACATAACGAACTTTCATGAGTATACTGCCACACTCCTTGAATCGTTGAATTCAAGCTATTGGAGCATGATTGTCAGCGATCCATTCATATGATTTTCACCGCTTTGTTGCCGTTCACGCAAAATGGAATAATCGGCGGATAATCAAGACTGGTTATTCTCTGGAGTTGACCTTTATATATACATGCACAAAAGATAAGCGCCACCCACCATATTTGTGACCTGTTGCTTTGGCACTTAATGATGACTATTACAACGAGATGAACGATTGTTATAAGCCGTATATGTAAACCTCATGTGATGCAAAAGTTGTCCCAAAGCAAGTTTATCTTGTGTTCCAAAAGAATATGAGCAGAAAGGAATTTTACCGAAATTGAAGGATTAAAAGACATTGAAAAACTTTTTTTGTCATGTAACTGTCATGACATCAGCAGACCATATCAGGTGTCACATAGACACCCTAGGGAGTGCAGGGTCTATTGCAAGACAGAAACGTCAGTAACGTGTGTATGATCCACGGACATTGACCACAGCTTCAACACTACGCCTCATACTCAATGCAAATCATTGAATTTTTCTCTGAGGCAAACGGATACATTCTTCATGAAGTGCGGCTTCAAGTCCAGCGAGATTTTGAACTGGGGGATCAAGATGTCTGATTTTCCAGCCAAGAATGTCCAAGAGATGCTCAATCGGATTAAGATCCGGACTACAGGCCAGCCAAGGAAGAGTGGCAATAACTTCTTGCTGCAAATAAGCCAAAACTGTCCGAGATCTGTGTGGTCTAGCATTGTCGTCCATGTAAACAGGTCTTGTCTGAAGAGGATGGTTGTCAAAATGAGGGACTACCACTGGACGAAGAACGGCATCTTGGTATTGTTGGCCATTCAGGTTTCCACGAATTTCCACCAGCGGAAGTTTGCAGCCGAAGGAAACACAACCCCATATCATGACAGACCCTCCGCCACATGCTAAGGTCTTCTGGATGACGACCCATTTGTCTTGCAGTGTCCCTGCATGACAGGCCAGCATTTTTCATGCCAATCACTTGCCATCTTTCAGCGTTTGTTAACTTTCTCCTCACCATGGCTGATTTTCAACCTCTATTGGAAGGGGAATCTCACGAAGGAGCAAAATGCAACCACGTGTCTGAAACTTGAATTTCACTATTTATAGGGTAGGGGAACTGCAGCAACACGTAAAGCACGCTTTCCTTGTGGTATCTGGACAAATTTGGGTTCATGAAACTATGGAAGCTTAATTCAGTCATACATCATCTTATTTCGTATTTCTGATTCCCACACGTGAAATCAAGAGACTATGAATATGGTGGCGCTTAACATTTGAGCATGTGTATATATTGACTCGTCCCAGTGGTCTGATGCAAAAATGTAGTTGACAAGAAACTTACAAAACCTGTACGAATGAAGGCTCTTGAAAACAAATGGCAAGGCTATATTGTGTACTGATACAAACATCACCGTCCGAATGTGCTTATTTAAAGAAATGCCAGAGAATAGTGACGTGACGGGAAAATTAGGTTGTTCGTCTTTCAAAAGTTAACGTTCTTATTTCCACCTACCTTTTAATGCCTTTAGACAACCAATACATTAAATAATACTTATCAATAACCAGACACACGTATGTTTCTTTACTATTACCTACATAAAAAGTGATTAAATGCTTCGTTGAACGTCGTACAATAGCTTAAGAACTTACGGAACTAGGTATGAACTGACGTCTACGCTGCTTCAATTCCCTAACAGACAGATGGATGTCGATTTCTTTGTCCAACTTCAGGCGACTCATGATGTTCATCAGACAACAGATCAAACCGCTCCGAGTAGCACCATCACTGAAGGTGAGCATTTTGATTTTGAGCATAATATGTAAATATCTGATAGAAGACAGAGAGAATTGCAGTTACGTTGATGTTCATGAATAACCGTGGAATAGTGTTATGTACTTAAAACCAATACATTATGAGCATGAAATGTACATAAGAAGCAACAATGAAATACGATAATAATAAATTCGAATCCTTTTATATCATACATTGAGTGTCAAAAGAAAAACACCAACAGTTATGAAAACCAACAGTACTGTCAGATTACTCCAACAATGGAGCCCCGTTATATCGTACATGTGCATGCCGGGATTATAATCTTCTTTCCAGCGCGTGACCCCTTCGTTACCATCCCGTTATCATCACTGCCATCAGTATGCAAGCGGTCATTACAAGAATCTTGAAAGTATTCTCTCTAACCCAAACATATGGGTCTGGTCCAGACAATCCAGTGATTGATATCATGAGCATCGCTCCTAGCAATTGGGATCGATGACATGTATCAACCAAGTCAGCGAGCCTGACCACCCGATCCCGTTAGTCGCCTCTTACGACAAGCATAGTCGCCTTTTACGGCAAGTATTGGTTGCTGAAGACCTATTCTATCCCGGAATCTTCACGGGTCGCCAAAGATTATAACATAGCAGTTGAGCTGTATGGCAAAACTACTTGAGCACTCACTCTTCACAAAGATCACTTACAAGCAGTGAACTACAACAGGCTTGCTTGCCAAGTTCATCATCCTCTGGTCAAGGTTGTTGAGGAACCTGATGACAGTCTTTGTATGAGGTGGGACTTCCTGATCTTTCGGCCAGTCATTGAACGTCAGCAAACTAACAGATGTGATATCCTAGAAAAGATACCGACTAAGGATTCTAATTTAACCAGAAGCATAAGTATGAAAAACATCATGTCGTTTTATTGACCCATTTAAATTTATCCCAACAACGTACGCAGGTCTTCATTAACAAATGTTTGCTGTAAAAGGCGACTAAGCTTGTCGTAAGAGGTGAGAGATCCCGTTAAGCCCCTATCTCACATACACGATTAAGAAATTGCGAACACGATTTTAGAAAAGTTGAAAAATCGTGTTGATTCGTGCTCGACCTTGTGGTTTATGCAATTTTTTTAAACCAAACACGACCCTCATACGACCAAAAACGACCCTCATACGACTGAACACGACACTCATACGACCGTCATAAGATACAATAGATATAAGATACGATACAACACGATTTAACCTCATTTAACACGGCCCCAATACGACTGTCATACGACGCCCATTCGACTTAATACGAATCAACACGACCGCCATACGATTAAACCCGAATCATTACGATGTCCATACGACTACAAAAATATAAACGATCTCCATACGACTGAGCAAGACCTTCATACGACATATTTTTGTTTATTTTGGTCACGTGGGTCATGTAGTATATAGCTGCATTGCAACAGCATTTCTGTGTCAGTCTTCACCATGTTCAACAACGAACAAGACCTGCAAGAAGCAGCCTTGGAGGAGGGTGTCAGTTTCAGTTGTTGGTTTTTGTTGTTGTTGGCGATTTTGGTGGTGGTACAGAGGTTTCAGCTGGCTAATCCTGTCCCTGGGTACGGGTGGATGTTCAATCATGGTTGGTGGTGAAGGATGTTTCTCTTTCGAAGGTTTTGCTTGGGGTAGCTTCCGTTTCGGCCGCCTGACGTTTGTCATGGCTGTAGAATGAGCTTTCACTTTCAGGGGGTTTCCCACGTTCTCACTCAGTCACGTGATGGGCGCTTCCGGTCGTATGACAAACGTATGGATTTCGTGTTCCGGCGTATGGGAGTCGTATGAAAGGCGTATGAAAGTCTTGTTGAATCGTGTTAAAACGTATGAAGGTCGTATGAGTTTCTTCCCACGCTACCCAACACGAGTGAACGCGATTGAACACGATCTTCACACGATTGAACACGACTGTCATACGACCTTCAAACGACTGAACACGATTTAGGCCGAGCTGCGACGTCCATACGACCGCGCGCGACCGACCACGACTTAACACGAATGAAAGAGAATGAGTGCGCGACGATTAAAAACGTTAAATCGTGTTCAGATTCGTGAATAGATAGGGCCTTTAGTCGCCTCTTACGACAAGCATGGGTTGCTGAAGACCTATTCTGTACTCGGATCTTCGGGTGCCGAAAGCAACAAATGGTCACTTGATGAAACAAAGGAGCATGGATACAGTACTATCAAGTCAAGAACCTCGTGAAGACCCGGGATAGAATTGTTCTTCAGCAACCTTTGCTAGTTGTAAGAGACGACTAACGCGATAGGATGGTCAGGCTCGCTGACTTGATTGATGCGTGCCATCGTCTCCCAATTGCATCTATCGATGTCAATCCTTGGATTATCTGATCACGACTCGATTTACAGACCATCGTCACACAGCTGCGATATGGCTAACTACAGCTTTAAACAACAATCAAACAACCATACTCCTTTCACAATTTGAATTATATATGTACTCTTGTATATTGCACCACACAACATTAAGGTTGTGGTATATTCATTTCCAAACGACCCGTGAAGATTCCAGGGTAGAATTGGTCTTCAGCAACCCATGCTTGCCGTAATAGGTGACTATGCTTGTCGTAAAAGGAGACTAATGGGATCGGGTGGTCAGGCTCACTGACATGGTTGGTGCATATCATCGATCCCAATTGTGTGGATCGATGCTCATGACATTAATCACCGGATTGTCTGGACTCGATTATTTTACAGACCGCCGCCATATAACTGGAATATTGCTGAGTGTGGCGTTAAACAACAAACGAACGAATCATATTACTGTAGTTAATCTGCTATGCCATAGTTAATGTGTCTTGTAATGCGTAAAACAACCAACCAACCAACCAAATCATTTCCAAACATCACATTGACCAAATTGGAATGTTGTGTTTGTTGGTTGACACATTGTTTTGTCATACACGTTTTGTTTGGTTACATGATATACTGACAATGTTAGGCCAGAGATAAAAAATGCTCTGTTACAATCTTAAATTAAGACAATCTAACTTTTTGGAAAGATCTCTCTTTTTCTTATACATTCCTTATTCAGTATAGGAGAATGTCCGAAATCTCGCGATTATTTTCGCACGTGAAGCTTGTTCGAGGCCGATAGGCCTACTACAAAGTTCGATCAAGTTAATGCCTCAAACTAATTTTCAAGTGATGTTCACTATACTTTGCTAGACTATGGGAGGGTGACTGCTCGTGTGTAACTATGGGAGGGGAACCCTTTCAAGGAAGACTATGGGACGATGTAGTACCCATACTCAAACTATTGGAGTCTCAGCAAATTGATCGCGTCTATCCAACTGTCATTAATGTTCACGCAACTTTGTTTTAATATTGATTACTGTCGGTTTAAGTAATTTGCACGAAAGACAAGGACGTGTTAAAACAAGAAGCTGAATCGTCATTCAAAGCAAAGCCAAGGCGTGAATATTTGATGTGCACACGCAATCGACCCAGGACACTCGGTACAGCTGCAGGAGCAGTAAAGGCACATTCACTCATCATAGTATTGTTTGAAATGCTGGGAATCTACAGTACCTCGTTCGCGTATAAGCCTTCCCTCTTGACAGTAAGGAAGGTCTCCGTGACACCTTCATATGGGGTAATCACTCCATTGTGAAGAACAATGAATGGACTGCAGGTGATGGGCTCATTACTCTTCGGCAAGTAGACACCAACATCCTAGAAACACAAACCGAAATAAGACGGCGAATTATACCACAAAAGGCCCATTATGAACTATTACAATTCCACGTTTAATGCCATTTTGGAGTTTGCTACCCGTGCCACAACTGCAAATGAGGGCATTCTATTATACTTTTACTTGAAGAATAGGTATTTTGTTAAGATCGATGCTGTATGTATGATAATTATGTAGGAGCACCCTATATGTTAGGTGCTACATACTGGATTGAGAGATTGTCTGGTCCAGACTCGAATATATACAGAGCGCTGTCATATAGATGGGATATTGCTGAGTGTGGCGCTAAACAACTAACAAACAAACAAACTGCTGGTTTCTCCAGTATTACGTTATAACATATGTTGCAAAGCCGTAGGACCCGTGAAGATCCGGGATAGAATAAGTCTTCAACAACCCATGCTTGTCGTAAGAGGCGACTAACGGGTGGTCAGGCTCGCTGACTTGGTTGATGAATGTCATCAATCCCAAATGCGTGGATCGATGCTCATGCTGTCAGTCACTGGATTTTCGGCTCAAGACTCGATAAGTTACAGACCGCCGTCATATAGCTGGAATATTGCTGAGTGCGGCGTTACAAACAAACAACAAAGCAGAGACGTAGAGGAAGCAACAGCGGGTAATCATGTAGGGACTTCCATGGAAGTTACAAACATTGGATGTCTCTTCTACATGGAAGTATTCATTAAGTGTAGGATAAATACTAAGTGTCTCTTTGAATGCTTCGAAGCTCGGAACAAAGAACAATTTCCCCCTTATGTCTTCGCTAACCTCGTCTGATGACACACTGTCTGGTGCATCAAGCGCTACAATGAGGTTGCAGCCTCGCTCTACTACCATCCTCCAAAAATCCACCACTGTTTTCTTCAGTGGCATCTGAGTGACCAAAAACTCGCCCTTGTGTGCAAAGAACTGTAAACAAACTGAGTCAGTGAAAGGCAGCTTTCAACATGTGCGTACATCTAAAAGTACATGTTAATTGCCAAAGCAAGAGAATAATCAGTGTCAATTATCTGCGGAAACATATTCCACTGGCGAAACAATGCTGGACATTATATGAATCAATCACTGAGAATCAAGAACCATGAACAACAGATATCCGAACGAATTCCAAGGTGACAAAAGTTGAAATCCTGACGATTCCGTCTACATTGAAGTCAAAACTCTCTGAAATCGTTGCATAAGACGATGTAACTATGTGGTCCCTGTATTAGGGATTAAAGATACTCCGCTTGTCTCCAACTATTCATAAACCGATACATTGTCAAGGATGGCGACTTGAGGTGTCATGATATGTAAATAACAAAGCATTTTACTGCTGGACAACCAGATGCCGGAAAAAATAAAATATTCTGTATTGCCCAAACATTTACAAAAATTGAAATTTGAATAAGAACGTTTAATGTTTTACTGCATGATTCTGATCGCCCAATTCGATGGTGATGTACCGAACTACCCCAAAGCTATGTTTTGTAACAAGATTTCACTGTGTGTAATATGGGACTCAACTTATACATTTCAACTTCTCACCGGTAGAGACACAGCATTGATGTAGTCATTGGTGCCTGGAGCCGGGGACGATAACATTACCCTGTGTCTGTCGGCTGTTGAAACATATTCACATACTGTTAACACCCCTAGTAAAGGTTTTAATACACTGACCTAACACGTTGTTCAAAATGGTAAATTATACTCTAAAAGTTGTCCACATTCCCATTTCGTGCGTAGGCTTTACTTTTATTCTCTGGTCTCTGGACCAGACACCAGGTTTTTTTATTACCAATTGAACATTATAATAGGTAGAAGGGAACCACATACACACGTACTTTGTGTGTAAAACCTGCTGCGCACAATCACCGGACAATAAGTGAAAGCGTAATTCCAACTGGGGTATCGTGCATATTGGCATGCATATATGCCGTAAGTGCCCATGGTCCATGGTATGGTGGTCTGACTTTGGTTTGCTGTCGAATTACCTTGTCTGTACACATATCGTCAAAACCCTTTCCATATCCAATAGAAATATCGGCATAAAGCAGAGTCGATTGCACGATTCCGACTACTTATATCATGAGCATGTGTTTATGAATCACTTTCAAGCAGTGATGATACCAGGTGTTCGGGAAAAGGTGAGCGTTGTACTGCCTCACCGACTTACATGTAGCCGAGAGTTTTATGATTATGGACATGTGTTTTGTCGCTTTTATTTATATCATAAAATCAGTTCATAATCAGTTCATCCACCTACCGGGAATTACTGCTCGTGATCTGTTCTTTGTTCTATTTGCCGACAACGAGGCTGCTTTAATCTCCTTTTCTCCAGATGACCGTCGAAGCGCATTCAGTGACTTAAAGACAATATTATTGTAAGTCCATTATATTGGATAATACACGTAATAGAGCACATACAAACTTTGTAAATTACATACGCATAAGTCACCTGATTTTCTTACTCTCCCAAATGTCAAAGGCCATACATATAAATAATTAGCTTTCATTATATCATACCCAAGGCTATGTTTACAACTGCAACAGTCTCAGGTATGTGTATGCTTAACAAATATCAATAAAACATCAATTTATCGTGTTTCATCACGTGTACAAGTCATATGCCAGGAAGGAAGGGTTCATAACAAGTGTATATATCCTCATTTGAAGCTGACACTTTCTGTCATCTGGCACACTCATATAAGATTGGCTGATTACAATATGACAACCCATACTTGCCGTACCAGGCGACTATGCTTGTCGTAAGAGGTGACTAATTATAACGGGATCGGGTGGTCAGGCTCGCTGACTTGGTTGATGCATGTTATCGTATCCCAATTGTGTGGATCGATGCTCTTGCGATGTCACTCACTGAATTGTCTGTTTGCAGACTCGATTATTTACAGACTGCCTTCATGTGGCTGGAAGATTGCTAAGTGCGGCGTTTAACAAAAGAAATAATCAAACAAACAAAAAAACTTAAAACTCTCACCTCCAGGCACTAATTATTCAAACTTGATCTATTATTGTGATTCTAATGAATACTACCGGGACTGCAGGTTTTTTTATATAATTAAGCTCCCTCGTTTCTTAAGTAGCGCGTGGGCTTAGAAACGGAAATTATAACGCCCATATGCTTCCATTAAACTGAAAACTTGATTGATCTCGTTTACCGAATGTTCTTAAACATATGTTGTAGCACGCTTCTATACGGACAATTTGCAACAACACTGCACCTTAAGGGCTGTTGGAGGTTTCCATATTTACAAGAACCATTGGACCCGGAACGTAGTTTATATTCTGGAAAATCAGTTTGACATGTTAATCGCATATGACAGACACGCACAACCGCGATATCGTTTTGTTATTACCTATTTGTCATTTTAATTCTGAACATGTTCTTGACTTATAATGTCTAATTTAAAAAAGATTCATGCCTTACATTTTATATATATATATATATATATGCCTTGACTATTAATCCGTAATTAAACCCGGGCCTAATAACGTGCAGTCACGGTACACTTTTAACTTATCCGACTGAGATGTGTGGTTTGACCATTTTGTCAAAAGATCTATTTTTTTTGGGATTCGGTTTACATTCATTTCTTTGAAGATAAGTTTATTTTCCTCTTCGTCAGCAAAATGACTGGTCTGAAAGGCTCTTTCAAATGTATCCACTGTGTAGAATGAAGAGTCGCTCTGTGTGGCTTCAAACACAGCTTCATGGAGGAATCGGTACTGTTCCTGGGGATATAATGTAAACATGTTGCCGTAAAGGGTAGAACGATGGAGCTTAATAACTATACTATATTTGCACATATTTCTCATACTTCTGGGTCTAGCTAATGTACCCCAAATCCCTGTCTCAATGACAAACCATAATCCTTAACAGAACCAAGGAAAGGCTTTCTTTATATTCACAGAAAGTGGAATTAATACCTTGTGAATTCTGAAAACTCAACCTCAGAAAAAGGTTCAATAATGCCAACTTTGTACACCACAATCACACACGAAACACTTGGGCAAGCCGATGGTTGAGTCTTAAACGTTTTGGGACGGGGTGAAGCAAAGGCAGTCCACTGCTTACTCTGTTCTTTGGTTTCTGGGTCATAGTGGTGTACCCAGGTTTCATCACCAGTAACAATTCTCTCCATAAAATTGTCTGCATCCCGACTGCATTGCGTCAAAAGTGCCTGACACATTGACGCACGTACAGCCTTCTGATCATCACTCAGACATTTCGGGACCCATCGGGCAGACAGCTTCCTCATACCCAGACGATCATGCAAAATGGTATAGACACTTCCCTCTGAAATGTCCAAGGCCTTGGCCATTTCTGACACCTTATTTCGCCTGTCTTTGACAACCAGTTGTCTCACAGCTTCACTGGTTTGGTCATTGGTCACCTCTACAGGCCTGCCAGGGCGTGGCTCATCTTCCAGGTTCACCCGACCCCTCTTAAATTCTGCAACCCAGAATTTGCCCTGTGCATACGAAGGTGCACTGTCAGCATAAACATCTGACAATTCATCATGTATCTCCTTTCCCGGTTTCGCTTTTAAGTAGAGGTACCTAATAACAGCCCTGTATTCGACCTTTGACGAAAATTTGGCAGAATCTACCCTCGCCATCTTTATAGATCACGTGTGTGACTTCAAATACAATTTCTTCAGTAAAACTTTGTCTGTGCACGTGACATACATTGGTGCACAGCACGTGACAAACATGCAACCGTTAAGATCTGATAAATAGCTTAGGCTTGTTATATATTGAATGGCCCTCGTATATACCACGAGGATTCTCAATAACTCAAATGACATGCTTTGAGTTTTTCCAATTAGGTCAGTTATCCGTAATTCTTCCTAGCTCTTAGTTATGCTTTAATTACACGTATAAAAATACCTTATGCTTTAAAAGTATGAAAAACCGTGTTGTGTATCACTGTAAATACAAACTTAAGGGAGAAAACGCTACACTTTAACGTACGTTTGTGATATCCGTGCCGCTACGACCGTGTAACCCTTACATTTTAACGTAGTTTTTTTGTTTGCATTTTTTAGTCAAACAGGTATATGATGCAGCTTTACTAGTTATGATGTATTCATCATGTGGACCCCAGGTATCCTGTATTGGAGGCTGATATCACATGTTTTGGACTTATATATTCCTTACTGCTGTCTGGATCATATTGACTCTGTTTTCCCTCATCTTCTGTATACAATGGTAGAAGTCTACCCGACCCTCAGCCTTAGCTTGGTCAAACAGGAAATCCAGGCCAATGAATGTCCCTGTCCGTCCAACACCAGCTCTGCAGGAAATATATTTACGATTATAGACAAACATTTTATCTACATTTCTGAAGTCCAAAGGCCAATAATAAAGGCATGATGTTTGCATACAACATTCTATACCGTACTCGTAAAAAAGAAACAGAGGTGGCAATAAGTTTGTTTGTTGTTTAACGCCGTCCTCAGCAATTTTCCATCTCTATAACGGCGGTCTGTAAACAATCGAGTCTGGACCAGACAATCCAGTGATTAAGTCATGAGCATCGATTCACGCAATTGGGATACGATGACATGCATCAATAAGCATGGGTAGGAAGGCAAAACGTGAAAAATAGAAACAATAAACAGCAAGGTCACAGTAAACCAGTGTTCATAGTGAATCGCCAAAAGGCAGCCTTCATGAAGTTCTGTATCTACACATGCCGATGCCTATGTTGGTTAGGTATGAAAGGCCACAACAACGGTGGTTCACACACAGCGCATAGAGCCACCATAGACGACAGAACAATTCCAAGATTGACGTCAGTTCAACGCAATAACGTCTTTGACCGATAGCGGGCAGGGGCAACACAACAAGATGTGGCAAGGCAAGACCTAAGCAAACGGTACAACACCACCGGAAATGTTAATGACGGCCGAAGGTCAGGTTTGTTTGTTGTCAAACGCCGCACTCAGCAATGTTCAAGCTATATAGACGGCGGACAATCCAGTGATTGACAACATGAGCATCGATCAACGCATGTGTTGCTAAGACCTATTCTACCACGGATCTTCACGGTCCCGAAGGTCAGGTCGTCCGAAAGTTACCGCCTCATAACATCGTTACGAAAATCAACCACAACAGCAACATCCAAATCCCTGGGCTACGCAGGATCTCTTATCAGAGAAAGACAGATCTTACCTGTTGAGTGTCGAATGAATGCTTTGCATCACAGTCCCCCTTCACTGCACTCTAAGTACAGTTTAGTGGCAGTTAATCAACAGTAGCAGAACATTCCTCAAAGCGCTATTGAGGATCTCATTGCGTCCACAGGTGGCCGATGGTCTAATCAGGTATTGTTAGGTTTCCTTACTGTATTTTATTTGCTGACACCATGAACATCAGGACATTAGCAATATGTTGCATGTTGTAAGCTCAAAGAAATAAATGCAACATCGTGTTCAAAATCTTGTTAGCCACTAGAGTTCCATAATGGACACAAACTCTTCGAATATTCAGCCTGGTGTATCTTTCAGTTTCTTTGGTAACAGAAAGTCATCTTAGCTTTGTTTTCAAATAGGTAATTAAACAAATTTGAATGTGAGCTTGACTCTGCATGATACCTAAATTTAGATAAACTTTAAATGTCATATATCAAGACATATTGGCCGTTTTGTGTCTAACATAAGGCATCTCATTTTGATATACAATTTACCAAGTAGTGATTTCATGCCTTTTATAAACGTTTCGCTTACCTGCAATGGACGACCAATGGCGACTCCTGGCTACGTCTATCATGACAGACTTTCTTCCAGAAGGTTACAATGGCTGGTGCTGACGGTACGCCATGAACAGGCCACGTGACGAAGTGGTACTGGGACACCGTCTTCGTCTCTCCAGTCTAAGGTTCAAACATTTTTTCAGCTGTAGCTGAAGTAATATTAAATTTGGCGTTAAACCCAACTTGCCTTAAAACTGAACTTGAAACTAAATCCCGAGGTGACACTTCATTAACGTTGGCTTAAGAAGTTGCAAACTGCTTGGTCCCAGCAACATCATTGTCAATGAATATATTAAAATAGTTTAATATCAAACTTTGGATAGTGGATGTTGTCGTTGATCCCAAGTACGTCGAGTTAAAGAGGGTTCGTTCTTGGTGTTCTTAAATTTGCTGCAGAAGAGAAACATGACATGATCATGATTACCCTATTAAAAATATCAACAACGAAAAATGAAGTATGATGAATAACCTTCTTATGTTTAAGTTGCATGTTTCTGATGACCCAGTCGGCTCGTGCTGTCTCTCCGTTGTTCACGACGAGGATGTTCTCAAACTGTTTACGTTTTCCAGCTTCAGGCCAGTATTCTTCACACTTTTTCTGTTCAAAACATTATGTGACTCGTTTACAATACCTCTGGAGTGAATTATATATAATTCAAACATTTTATGATTGTTCCCCAACTTTTTGCACTTTACGAAGGATAACATTATCATAGCATAGCGCAGATATTGTTCTAAATTTGTGATTATCATACGATACATGAATTTCGTATTTATATTGGTTTAATTAATTCAATATATAGGTTGATCCACTACTTCTGTAAGCATGTTGTGTCATTGTGTCGGGTTTGTTTGGTAGCAGCATGGTACCTTCGCTGTTTCAGACACGTTGGTCAGCATGACGATCTGCTTGATGTCGTGTTCCCAAATCATTCTCCAGAAGTCAGGAAGTGTGACAAGATTCGGGCCTTCAGAAACAATGATAAACTCAGTATTATTAATAGATATTAGTCTCCTGCAAAACCTCACTTGTACATGTATTACAAAGTTTTAACGCATGTTTTATATAGCCGGGGAAAACATATCCCATGCCCGGGGCGGCATTGGTTACATGGAACGACCTACGTATCAAAGCGTAACTGCATTACTTCTATTTCCAGAAACGTACCCTGGGTTGCTATGTATGCGTTCTCGGTGTTGTATCCCTGCAATATAAATTAAAAGTAAATGGTTTGTGCCTGTATCATTAGATTTCAGTAAACTGCAATCATCAAAATCCTAACTGAACACAATAACAACAAATCACTGGATGAAATTCATATGCAATCTGCTGAAAAGAATCTGTACATACCTAATGCTCAATCTTATTGTAATCGTGAGAATTGATTAAAGATATTGATAACTGTCAATGATTACTGTCCTGAGATTTACTCAACACCATGTAACCATGTACATGGTTACAATTGTTTGTTTGTTTCATCGTGTAATTATAATTTTGTTTCTGAAATGCGAACCGTAATCTATTTCCCAAACGGCACCGACACCAGATCTTCTGAGATATTTTGCAGTGACCAAATTATGCATAATAAACTACATCATATCACAAATGAATTCATACATGCACATAATTGGCATTAATGTAGTCTGAGTGATCTTTCCCTGGAAGTTTCTTCAGTAAAACTCTGGAGTGGTCATCTGAAATGTATATGATTAATATATTCAGAAGGAAACACTACGTTTCGATCATGGTTATAATGGAAACTTTGTAATATTGACATTACATAGATGCTTCGTTATTGCTTGGGTTGAATTGGGTACACAATCATTTTATAGACGTAAATATTTACACATCATTGTTTTATAGAGGTATGGTTCAATACCCACAAGGGAATATTCCGATGAATGTGTTCTTTCCCTTGTTTCCAGAACTGTTGCCAATATCACAGGGGTGTTGCTTTCCTGGTGGGAACATCTTCAAAATAGTAACATGAGGTAGTGAATGTCTTACTATACTGTTTTTAGGTGTAGTATAGCACTGGGTCCTGGGAAAACAATATCTTATCTAACGTCAATGTTAAAACATCCTGAGAAGGAAGTTAGTATTCGACAAACAGTTATATGCGAATGTTGAACTTATTCCCGGATTTGTGGCAGGGATGAAGTGAACGCGCAAATACCTGAACATGTGCAGACCTTAAGTCGATACTTTGGATATGGTTGTACTTACATTGTATTCGTTTTCAAATCCCTTATCGATGCCATATCGTTCATGAATGTACTGTTGAAGTTCTGAGACTCGGACGGCCCGAGACCGGATGTTGGCATACACTGCCCCAGGGTCATCCACGTGTGGAGCTGCAGTTGCAAGGATGTACGGTACTGTAATTAATGTATGGCACGTATACAATGTTCATGTAGCACTGTATATCTAAACATGACTGAAGATCAGGCTTAGAATTGCTGTAAAGCTATTCACGCTTGTAAGAGCCAACTAACGGATCGAGTGGTCAGAAAGGCAGACTTTATTGCATGTCATTGTATGCCAAGTGCACAGACCGAAGCATCTGACATCAATTATTGGACTGCCATCATACAGATGTAATATTGCTGAGTGCGGCAACAAACAAACAATTTATTCATATGCATGAAAGAAGAATAAAGATGGTTCCACTTTCTTAATTTTCTCAGGTTCTTGATTGGCTGCATGCCACCTAGTTGACGCAAATAGGCAGGAAATCAATATAGAGATGACATTTACAGGATATTTTCAGTAATTGCTTCAGTACTGTTATCACCAGTTAATCAATAGAGCTTTTTCAATTGTTCCTAGTTTCCGGTAGTTTTCCGATCACGACTCTAACAAGAGTTCATTGTCTGATATAGTTCTTAACGAATCAAAACAATCGAATAGGACATGTAATAAAGACAGGTCAAGATCGAACACGTTAAAAAGATACCATTAACATTAGGAGAGTAGTGCACAGGATTTACAGTTAATTGGCCTAGTCAAACCTCGGCTATTCTAATTCCCCTTGTAGTTGTACCTTTCCGAGTTGGACTGAAGCTTAGTAAACTTATGTGAGTATCGAACCTTGTGTTCATCCTTGTATGTGTGTATGCCGGAACATGAATGTATATGGGAATAGTTAGGAGTAACGGCAGTCAGACCCCTCACTTAGCGAAGCTCTTATGGCCAGAGGAGTTGCAGAGTCATGGCTTAACTGATCATGATGGCACAGAACGGCAATAAACATTTTAAATCGCTACTAATTGTTGAATATTACTTAAATTCACTACTTCCACCTCACTTCAAAAGGATTTTATCACGCTTCAGATGCAGTAACTTTCCAATAGCAGTACATACTTGACGATACCATGCCACACCATATGAAGAAAGACTCTGCCCTCTTTGTCTAAAAATAAGTACTTTATTGAAAATGAATATCATGTATTATTAATTTGTGAATCCTACAGCTCCCTTCGTAATGCACTTTTAGATAAATATATTACCTCTAACCTTCAGCATTACTTTATCTCTATTATTTCCTGATTACCTTATATAAAATATCAGTTTTTCTTACCAAAGCTCATCAACTTAGGGTAAATAGTAAATAATCCACTGTGAATAAGTAAAAAAATGAAAAGAAAAAAAAATGTAAATAATGTAAATTTTCCCAGTTTGTAAACATGTCATTTTGCGCAGGCTTTATGTATTCCTGCATATGTATGTATTTTGGGACAGTGGCCTTTTATTGAATAAATTGTCTGTCTGTCTGTTTGGAACGGCAATACGGTAAGGAAACTGTTGCAGAGATGCCCCGAAACGCAGTTACGAAACTATGTCACATGTGTAATGTGTTCTTCACCATCTATTTAAGGAAATTAATAAGACTGATCACTGTTTTAATGTGTTGGCTACTGAAGAGAATGTTGAAAAACATGTTACAAGTGTTTGAGAAAACAAGCTGTACCACAGCAAGGTACGGCTTTATGTTATTACATGCCTTGTTCAGAAACTATTAATATATCTGAATAACATGTTCCGCATTAAATAGAGTTGAGTGTTCCATTACCTGGTTGTGATTGTATTCTCATCTCAGACATATTAAGTCCTCCTTCATCCTTTGTTTCAGATGTATTAGTCTCAGAACATCGATCTCTTTTTCTTGAAATAAAAGGGATAACCAGATAAGATGAAATAGGGGTTGGCATCGGGTTCAAGTTATGTCACTTAAATAGCAAAGCACATGTGTGTGTGTGTGTGTGTGTGTGTGTTAATGTGTGTTAGTGTGTGTGTGTACTAGTCTGGATGCATGCAGTTTCATCGTGCTAGCCTACTGACATGCCAGTATATAACAGTTGAACATGGATACCGACACACCATACTGGCACCAACAAGGACAAACCTTAAAACCAGCGCAAGGCAAGGGCTAATACCAAGTGTCTTTTGATAACGTCTCTTGGTATGACGTGGCCAAGAGATAGTACAAAAGATTATTGAATGCAGATTTGTGGAAGATATGAGAGTGTGGCTTAATTCTTTCGTAAATAATACACGGACGAACATATAATTAAGACACGTACATTAATGACATCATTTGCGATACGGTGTGTTTAGCATGATAGTATTGAAAATTATTAAGACATGCATTTTCTCACTTGTACATAATTATCCCAGCAATCACTACCAAAATAGCAACAGCTCCTCCGACACCCCCGCCTATAACTGCCGGGTTAAGACCAGTCTCCGCTAAAACACAAGACGAATCAGTTTCATTGTGCCATTGCAGATGTAAACTTTTGGTAATACAAAAACGTATTTGGAAAACAAACATTTGTTTCCTACTTTCATTCATAGTAATGGTACTGGGCGAAGATACATATGAGCCTGCTTCAAGACAATGGTTACTGCGCTGGAAATATGCTTTAGATACTCTTGATTCTCATGTAGCATATGGATTACAAGTGTTATCAGCGAGTGCCTGTAATCAGCGTAATTAATAACGTCATTACTGTAACCTGGCAACGTGAAGTTTTGAAATCCTCGGAAGATGATGAAGAACCCGATATTAGGTAAATTCGCACTTTACAAATGTGACGTGGGACTCAAAATATTACAGAAAACTGTTAAGCTTGGTGTAGGTGGTTCTGTATGGTCTACTTACGTTTTTGACAACTTTCTCCTGTCCACCCATCTGCACATCCACTCTCACAGTGTCCGGTTGTCTTCTCACAAACACCACTGCTCTTACAGTGGCATTGGTTGATACAGTTGATACCATATGTGGAGTTACTGCACACTGAAAATCAAAAGAGAAACTATATAGGACGAGGCAACCGGTTTACTTTCGGGAAACAAATAAGGATTTATGTGAAAACGTGATCGGTTCTTTAAGAGGATAACTTGTAGCATTCATACCAGGTGAGCTGAAATGGGGTTTATCGTCGCATTCAAAATTATTGCACTTATATAATGTGTGTTGCTGCGGACTAATGCCGATTTTATAGTGCTAGCACACTGAGATACCATGCCGCATTTCAACATGAATAACCCAATCAGACACCAGTCCTTGTCTCAGCCCCTAAATGCTGAGAGCAAGGCAGGGTAACAACAAGTACTATCTTTTAACGTCTTTTGGTATGACACGGCCGGGGATCAAACCCCGGATCTTTCGCTCTCCGGGCGAAAACCCTACCCATTATTTAATGAAAATTAGATACTCCACAAACCTTTGGATGCACATGAAACTAACATTAATTCACATTGCAATCAGCTGATTCTACGTCATTAGAACCCATATTGTTATTTAGGCTTGGTATGTGACAGATCCTGACTGTATACAGGTGACAAGCAATTGTACATGTACATATGAACATTACCTCCAAATATAAATCAGATAACATTTTCCCCGTGTGTAATACAGTGGATGTAAGTATCGAAATTGGATCATGGTATTGACAATGGTCCAGGTCATCAGGGCAGTATGACACACTTCTAATCAAGATACTGATCACTCGGTCACCATGTTTGAGGACCCAGTGACATGCATTAGTACGAATCACTGGAAAGGCAAAGGGAGAAATGAAATCAAGAGAAATATGCTCATTCTCTCGTGTTGGTGCTGCACTGTGTCAACAGATAGCCACTATGAAATATCAATCTCCTACTATTAATGTTTGAATTGTGGAAAAGTGAGAAAAGTGACATTTCTGGGAGAGATCATACGTGTTGTCATTGTACCTTAGGGGGAACGGGTGGCCCAGTCGTCTAAGGCGCCGCAATGAGCTGTGCAGAGTTGCGTCCTTTGGGCACGCCAGATACTTATGATTGTGGTTTCGAATCCGGGTTCGTCCCGTTCATGTTTCTAGGTTTGTCAGTACCTGCATCATTTTGGGCTTTCCTCCCACATCAAGCTGACATGCCATGATATAACTAGAATACTGTTAAAAGCGGCGTCACACCCTTCTCACTCTCTCACTGCATTCTGAATATTTAGGTAATTAAACATTAAATACTAAATTCATATTTACGTATGTATGCATGTTTGTTTCTTTGTTGTTTAACGCAGCACGCAGACATTTTCCAGCTATATGACGTGGTCTGTAAATCATAATGTGTTTCATTTATGACGCAAACCTTCTTCGTGTATGTGGTTGAATTTTGTGCCAAAGATTATATTGGTTGTTTGTTTGTTGTTAAACGCCGCACTCAGCAATATTCCAGCTATATGACGGCGGTCTGTAAATAGACGAGTCTGGTCCAGACATTCCAATCATTGATGTCATGAGCATCGATCCACGCAATTGGGATACGATGGCATGCATCAACTAAGTCAGCGAGCCTGACCACCCGATCCCGTGAGTCGCCTCTTATGACAAGCATAGTCGCCTTTTACGGCAAACATTGGTTGCTGAAGACCTATTCTACCCCCGATTTTCATGCATGGGCGCATTGTACATAATGCATAAGTCTCAATATTAAAACTGCGGTTTCATCACCTTTTACCTGCATGTCATACTCATGTATATCGCATCATAATGAATGTATTCAAATGTGTGAGTACATTAAATGTCGTTTGTTGTTCTTTCTTTGGAAAAGTAATTTTTTAAATCCATAGCACAAAGTACCTGTCTGGCATCCATCACCAACCCACCCTGCTGCACATCCACCCTGACAGTAGCCTGTTGTCGTGTTACATGTAGTGTTATCCTTACAGTGACACGTCTGGGAACAGTTGTCACCATACTTGTAGTTACTGCATTCTGTGAAATATCAATTTGCTACTATTAATGTTGGAGGAGGTTAAATAAAGTGACAAAACCCTTTCCATATCCAATAGAAAAGTCCCGCAAAATGATTGTCCCCCTGTGTGACACGTCATTCCTAGCATAATTGATGTAAATGTCATCCCTCAGTGTTTTAAGCTAACTCATTGCTGAGTATTGTTTTAATATCGGCTAGTATGGTGCACAATTGCAACCACCAGTAGCTAAAGTGATTACGTAAATCCTGATATGTACATATATCAACTTGTTCTTCGTCGCTATATGGCTGAAATAATGTCGACGCGACGCTAAATTTTAACTAACTCACTCACTCATTAATGTTGGAATTAAGAGATACTGTGAGCAAAGTGACTCTTCTGGGAGAGACCATACGTGTGGTCAATGCACAACGAATATTTAGGCATTTTAATATTTATTAGTATATTCATATGTACGTATGGATGCATGATAGCATTGTACACAATAAAAAAGTCTGAATATTACATCTGTGGTTTACTCACCTTTTACCTGTATGTCATACTTGTTAAATCAATGGCACAGTTTATCGTATCATAATCAAAGAAGGGTCAATCATAATGCCTTCCTAGTGCTTTTTTCAGATAAAAACTATCAATAGACGTACAACTTTTCCGTTGTTAGGTTTATGTAATTGTGACGTGTTGACATCCATATTATCAAATTAGATTATCATGTATTAATATGTATGTAAGATCAAACTCATTGTGCTGCTGGGTTTGAATACCAATTTCGAATACGCAGTAGTATGACTTAAATACTCTTCAAAGAGGCGTGAAACCAAACTAACACCCTCGGTCATTCATTATGCTGCACTGAATATGTTTTTTCGCAACCCCTTCTTCTACATATATGTATGCATAACGTTAAAAAGTTCAGTTTTTTCCAAAAACATAATTACTAACATTATGCAATTTTCTTTCTCCTATATATGAAAAACACTAGTTTACAAACAAAACAATTACATAAAAGAAGGCATGACAATGAACATTCGGCTATAACCTGTCTGGCAGTCGCCACCCGTCCACCCTGCTGCACACCCGCTCTGACAGTAGCCTGTTGCCTTATCACAGATAGTGTTTTTGTCACAGTGACACTTCTGGGAACAGTTGACACCAAACGTGTAATTGTTGCACTCTGTGAAAAGAAAATAGTAGTCACAATGATGTATCAATATCCGACCATTTATGTTACAATTGATATAGTGTAACAAAGGTGACACTTCCGGTACCAACTGAGACCATACGTGTTGTCACTGCACCTTAATAACAAGTAATTTTAACATTACTATATTCATGATTAAGCATGATTACAGAATAAATTGTCAATCATGCAAATGCAGCCTGATGTATTTTCATTTAAAAAATATCCATAGATGTGACGCTTTCCGTTTAAAAAGATTTACATGCAATAGGGACGTTTGACATGAAAATTATCGTGTTAGATTATCATAATTTTGTGTGTAAGATCCATCTCTATGTGCTGCTGGGTTCGAACACCAGGATCGACCTGACTTTGTTTCTAGGTTGGTCAGCATCATACTCTCATCCTCGTGGGTTTCTACGCGCATGATTATGCATATTACAAAGATAAGTTTTTCCTGAAAAGATATCCACTAACATTTTACAATGTTCCCTTTCAAATGTACCAATACACTTGTTTTCAAACGAAACAATCACATAAAAGAAGATTTGACAATGAACATTAGGCTGTAACCGACCCATGAAGATCCGGGTTTGAATATATCTTCAGCAACCCGTGCTTGTCGTACGAGGCGACTAACGAGATCGGATGGTCAGGCTCGCTGACTTCAATGATGCATGTCATCACATCCCAATTGCGTGGATCGATTCTCATGTCATCAGTAACTGGATTCTCTGGTCCACACTAGATTTATTTACAGAGCGATATAGCTGGAATAGTGTTGTGTGCAGCGTGAAACAACAAACAAAGACTGTTACGTGTCTGGCAGCCGCAACCCGTCCACCCTGCTGCACACCCGTTCTCGCAGAAGCCAGTTGTCTTATCACAGATATTGTTTTTATCACAATGACAATTCTGGGAACACTTGACACCAAACGTGTAAGTATTGCACTCTGTAAACAGAAAATAGTTATCACTATGAAACATAAATATCCTAATATTAATTTTGAAACTGAGATGCTGGATAGGAACAGGCAACACCAAACGTGTGGTCCTTGCTTTCTGGAATTGTGTTCAAATATGCATGCTGTTGTGTTGCTATTTTCATGTGTATAGTTTGAAAAAGAATAATATTAAAGACAGATATGTTTTAATTATTTAAATGAAGAATTGATGCTGAGTTTGACTGAAAACATTGTTTTCTTTTCCTTGTTTTCTTCTTTTGTGTCATTTAGCACTAATCACACTTGACAGTTAATCTAGATGTTGTTACCAGATAAACATTGTCTATTTGGTTATTTCACACAATCACTGGAAATGATGTTTTGAATTTCTGGCTTTGGCCAAGGCTAATAAACTAGTACCTGTCTGGCAGACATTCCCGGTCCACCCTGCTGCACATCCGTTCTTGCAGTAGCCTTTTGTCTTGTCACATTTAGTGTTGTTCATACAGTGACACTGGTGGGTGCAGTTTAGGCCAAACGTGTTGTTCTGGCACGCTGAAAAGAGTACAAAACATGACTGCGAGATCATGTACTCAACGATGTCTGCGGGTAGGTTTTATTATTGCTGGTAAGTATTATATTCGAACTATCGTTCATTGAAATTCTTTTACAACATATTTGAAGTCGGACTATTTGTGACAGGACACGGTGCAGCCGAGAAGGTACGACTAGCGGTCAAACCATCAAATTACCGCGTGTTAATAGGTCGCTTTTCTTATTAAGGCCAAAAGGAACCTAAGTATATCCAAAACGTTTCAAACTATTAAAATCTCATATCAAAATTAGCCTGAGTAAAAGACTCCAAAATCAGCCTCTTGACACATGTTATCTTAACGTATACCTTAAGTGTCACATCAAGTACAATACATGTTTGCGTTGAAAGCTGAATCTTCATTGAAAGGACGACATCTGATAACGGTTCAAACAATTTTTAAAAACCTTCCCCGTTTCTTAAAGCGTGCATGTCATGTGGGCCAAAAGGACGCTTGTCACACCTTGTCTTTTGTCAAGGAACCAGTTAGACTAAATGATATATACCCTAAATACTGACAAGTGGGCACCTCTAACGAGGCCAATTATTCCATTAACTCACTCAGTACAGGTTATGTATCCTTTGCTGATAAATGAGATCGTCACATTGTCTTCCGTTACAATTTACTTGATAGAACATCCGTAATTCTGAGTAGATCGTACATATATGTCCAAATATCGCCTTGCCAATTACATGTATTACCTGTCTGACAGCCAGTCCCGATCCACCCAGCCGCACACCCGCTCTTGCAGTAGCCAGTTGTCTTGGCACATGTAGTGTTTTGATCACAGTGACAATTCTTGAAACAGTTAACACCAAACGTGTAGTTATTGCACTCTGTGAACAGAAACTAGCAGTCACTGTGAAATATGAATATGTTGGCATATGTAATATTATTCTTACAGTGACATCGCTGGATGCAGTTGGCACCATATGTGTATTTACCGCACACTGCAGAAAATGACATCAATGTGTATCTATCCATAATAGCCCATTATCGTGATTTCTTGTTTCTATAGTACTGAAGCAAAACTGATAAGATAGTATGTTTGAATGGGTTTATATTAGGTGTTGTAATACACACTACTGAAAAAGGTACATGAGTATCAGAAATTATTCATAACATAGATTGGGTAGGTTATTACGAGTGTCTTTGTATGAGTATGTCGGTTAAGTTGAATGAACTCTTAGGCGTGCAGGGGGTTACATAAAATTACTTGGGATAATCTTCAGTGTACAGAAACCTTCCCGATTTAAAGTCGATGTACTGTAATCCATCCGAACATTTGGTGCCAACAATTACTCAAAATACCTGTCTGACAGTCATTTCCAGTCCAGCCATCTCCACACCAATTGCCACAGTATCCGGTAGTCTTGTCACAGGTGGCGTTGTTCATACAGTGGCACTGGTTCGAGCAGTTGGGGCCAAACCAATGGTCGTCACATACTGCAGGGATAGGCACCATGGGTAATATGAAGGTAATACACAAGTCCGTTCCGGACTACTGGTTTGTGTAACACAACTAACTGTTTAAAGAGGAAACACGTCACCAACAGCTGTATCTCATTGAAGTACATACATTTAAGCATAATAATGCATCAGCGCGAAACACAAGGCACTTATAACCTTCTGTACATTTGTAAAGAAATGTTTGGAGGTGCCTTATCAAAAAAGCACTTTGTTAAGCAACACTATTTTTCAAATGATTTATAAACGAAACATAAAGTTTTCCATGTTTTTAAAAAACCCAACAGCTACAGGGATCCCTTGTAAATTAGACGCACGGCCAGTTATTCTGAAATTGAAAAGCAACATAGAACGTGAAGAATCTTCCAAAACCTCACGTTAAAGGAAGGCAAATCTTTTTTTTTATGTATGAAGAGACAGCTTGTTTGGAGAATTAGAATGATTGGAAGTGCTTCATGGTGAAACTAAACATACGTTTTTCACATGTGTCCAAGATTTGAACATTATGTTGTTGTTTTTAGAAGAAAATCATTTGTCATTCGAAAATTATTTGAGACATAATAATAATATGTCATTATGAATGAATTTATAGTTGGCATCTCAGCATAACATGCTTTATTCTGATAATCTGTGGCAATGTACGTCAGTTGTTGGCTTATGCCTCCGGAAATACAAATTGAGGTACCCACCGTGTGGTGGTGTAACTGGAGCTGATGTGTAACAGTGTTTTACAGATTGAGATGTGACGCATTTGTTTGTCGCCTTATTGGCAACGCAAAATTGTTTATGTTAAGGCTCTGTTCGTGACATGTAAATTTAAGTCATTGATAATTAATATACACTAATTGTACGTCACGCCCTTTCGCTGTAAGGGGCTTGATTTGCAAATTACAGAGATCGATCTCAGATCAGCAGAATATTTGTTGCTATGATGGCGTGGTATGTTGTTTCCACTTGTACATATCTGTATCCCGGTCTTGGACATTTATCAAAACGCCCTTGACTAATGTACAATTTTACATGAAAGGTAAATAAAAGCAACAAGAGTCGATCGTACGGTTCCGGCTAAGCTTGAGTTTATGAATCACCACTAAACAGTGATGATACCAGGTGTTCGCGAAAAGTCGAGCGCATCCTGCCCCACCGGTGGCACCGTCACAAACACATGTAAGGAAGGCAAGTCAATTGTTGTCCTGAAAAACAACACGGGAACGTATGGTACAAATGTCACTGATGCGTCATTATTTGATTCGTCCTCCACACGTAATCCATAAATACTGTTTGAAGGCTTTACTGAGGCGTTGAATGCTGTAAGGTGAATTTATAGTTTACAGTAGACTGTCAGTCTTGACACTGATTGAGTACATAGTTTGGTTGTGCATTTATTCGTCTTGTTCGTCTTTGCAATTACAAGGGAGTCATATTATCAAAGAGTAAATCTGAAAAATCTCTTTTCCCGTGTAAGCGGGCATCTCATTTTCAGCTACTTGATCTGTATAGACTTACTAATTTCATAATTTTGAAATATGTATTTGAATAATTAATTGCTTGTTTTTAAATTTGGTGTGATGCTTTTATCAACAAAGATTATCGAAGGCTATGTTCAGGAGGTTAAAGTACCCTAAAGTTATTGAACCACCATGTGTGACACATAATTCCTATCATAATCGATGTAAATATCATCAACCAGTGTTTTTTAAGCCAACTCATTCCTGAGAATGTTTTTCATATTGGCTAGTAATTTGCACAACCACCAGTAGCTAAAGTGATGACGTAAATCCTGCTTGGCTTTCATGCAGGAAGCCGAGGTACTGCTCGTCCCCATGATCCCCAGCGAGCTTTGGTTACTGGTGGCTCATCGCCCGTGTTTTAAACTTTCATTGTAATATTGTTATGCCCAAACATTTGTTTGTAAATAGAACTTTATATTCATGACTAAACTCTGTATATATGAACTTGTTCTCGTCGCTATATGGCTGACATAATGCTGATGCGACGTTAAATTTTAACTCACTCACTTTTCGTGTTGTTCACTTGGATGGGTCGTAGCGAGGACATTCTAGGACGGATAAACTCTCTGATTTATCCCAGTGCTTACTAAAACGGTAACTCCAAGATTAAACGCTGTAAATGATCAGAAACAACGCTTCTGTATTTATTCATGCTGGGCAAAGTGGAAGTAGTCAGTTAATGTTTACTATATGTTCCTGTATTGTTTTTGTTTTAGTTTGCATGTGTTTGTGACGGGTGTCCCCCGTAGGGCAGGATGCGCTGTACTTTTCGCGAACATCTGGCATCATCACTATTTGATAGTGATTCATAAACACATGCGCATGTTTTAAGGTACAACAGACTCTGATTTTGTTAAGAATATGGATATGGTTTGACCGCTTTTATTTACGTCATTTCAAGACTACAATGTCGTGAATGTTGTTCGTACACTAATGAAAGAATGATTCGCAGTCGGGCGGTCAACGGAAAACTCCGTATATCGTTTAAAATTTACACATTTAAAAAATATTGCAACATTATAAACTACAACTATTCAGGGGATACAGGAGACAAGTGATTAAATTACTCCTATACTCACCCAGTACTTGTACTTCACACAGACTCAGATATGTACCAGCCGTAAGACTCACTGAAAGTAGCCGGCCTTGCGTCACGTTAACACATCTGATGTCCATCACGGTAGTCACGTGTCTCGCTGGATCGTGTGTATAACAGGTCGTGTTCCCCACTCTTACTTTCATTGAGTTTACTCGGTACTCATCTGGATTATATACGACATACATAAAACATCTATCAAACCTCAACGTACATATACTTGGTTGAGGTGTTGTAAAATAGTTTCAAACAGTGTTGTGTTATATCGCAGTCAGTACAATTCTAGTCAGGGCGACTTTTTTCAAACAGGAAAACAGCGATTAACTGGATGCGCTTGTTTCTGGTGCAGGGTGCAGACCAAAAGTTTAGACTCTGGGTCCGTGAGCTCTCATTCTCATTTCCATGGGGAGTACACACTGCGGATATGTGTAACGCGCTGAATCAACCCACTGGTGGATTCTCACAACGTTACATCAATTATAAATCTGGATCCGTGTAACTTTATTTCTTATCTCCCCGAACTGGACTTTTAAAGTCAGTTAACTCTCTTGCCTCGGGAAGATGTCATGTATCGTATGATAACTGCACTATTAATGCGCTCTCAACAAGGATGATGCTAAAATATGCATAAACCACTACCTATTCTTGTATTTAAAACAGAACATTTAAACTACATATTTAATTTGCCAATCGGGGCACGGGTGGCCCAGTTGTCTAAGGCGCCGCGATTCGCTGTGCAGAGTTGCGTCCCTTGGGCACGCCAGAAACCTATGATTGTGGGTTCGAATCCCGGTTCGCCCCGATTATGTTTCTAGGTTTGTCAGCACCATACCCTTGCTCGTGGGTTTCACCGAAGTGGTACACGTCTGAGACCTGCATCACTTCGGGCTTTCCTCCCGCATTAAGCTGACACGCCGCGATATAACTGGAATACCTTTAAAAGCGGCGTTAAACCAACTCACTCACTCACTCATCCTGCTGTACTTATTCACTGAACAAAGTGATATTTATAACAAACGTCTCACAAAGTCATATAGAGCACATCAGTAAAACATTCATTGTTATCATGATCTTGTGTGATTACAAGTAAAGACATATGTATAACATAAACTCGTTTAACTTCACATCTTTCATAGGAAATCATAATACACTCTTTTATAACATTTAATGTAATCTGCACAATTATATGAATTATCCTTCCTTAAATGGGTATATAGTAAATATTATTCATCTGCAAAGCATGTGCACTTTCATGCTAATATCAAAGACTAAACCAGTGCTCCGTTTGGTCCACATGAAATTAAAGGCAATACAAGTCTGCTTTTGTTGACGATAATTTTCTCAACGGCCGACGGTTCTTGCGAAGTACATGTAGGAAATCGCGATAATAATATGTAAATTTTACATTGGTAAGTTAAAATGTCCATGACCATACTTTCAAGACTAAGAGCAAAAATCATGCACATGTTTCAATATATATTTTCCCCATTAACTCGATGGGTTAAACTGCATAGTCATATCCTGTATTTATTCTCACGTTGTGCTCTGTTGTATATCTTGATCCAGGAGATGTTATACACCTGCCCCAGGTCCACCTGCCACCAGGGTTTGTCTTGTATAGCGGCGAGAGAACAGGAACCCTTCCAGTATTGTGTGTCTGTATTCCCATCCACAGACAGGTTTGCCGTTTTCACACCACAAACATCACCAGTCTCTTTATGGCACCATTGTGTATCGTTATAGTCTCCCTGTTGAGTTGCAGGCTTGTTAAGTGCCACATTTACTGAAACATTGTGCGTGAAAGATCGGAAAGGGCTTAAAAGATTCTCTTCTGATTGAACGTTGTTCCACGTGTTTCAGTGCACGCACTCACAAACGTTTGGCTCATTCGGCGTATTAATAATGAATTTCAAATGTAGCGTCCATAAAACACTTTACCCGATCATTACTGTTCAATAAAATTGAAAGTAAGTTGCAAAATTTAATCACATGGCTTTCATTACTCTTTAACGTGAAAGTCCGGTAGGTATATACAGTTTTGCAGAATTGGAAAGATTATAACATCGTTAATACAAATATCGTTTTCAAAACATGGAAAGCGGCACGTAAATAAGATTTATTTTCACTATAGTACTGTCTATCAAAGGCTGAAAAATATACGTCGGAGGCTCCATATACGGTCAGGTTGGAGGAGATGTCCTTCAAAATTACACCATGACGTTTTATCACACAAGCCCGCCACTCCGTTTCCACCCTAGCACGCAAGCCTCCGTTCACGGACATAGTCGGCTCCACACGTCCTCGGCAAAACAGACCTATTCATCAGCATTTTTAACCCACAGACAGTCTCCTTTCCACAATTAAACAATGATTATTTGCACACTGTACTTTCCTTCGTATGAGTTAGGAGTAGCATATCTTCTTTCTTTGAACAACGGATATGTGACAAAGAACATTTTATCACAAATTGAGTTCACTTTTCGGTTGTTTTATTTGTTTTGTTGCGAGACCATTTATTCTTTAAAATATTTGCTGTGCTGTGTATAAAGCGATCAACCATCGATCGTACCTACTTCGTTCCTTTTTTTCGGTATCGTTAGCCGAAATCGACTAACTTGTCAATATGTCCGACTATAACAGTGACTAGTTTTCGAGTGATCATGGAATGTGAATGTTTGACGAAAGATGAAAGGGTGATTTCTGAGGAAGAAGTACAAGTGAACCCCTACATGTAAGAGCCTGTGACCGGCAATAGTGACGAAAATAACCAGGATTATCCCTAACTTGGACTCAGGGATCAGAAGTGATTGCAAAACACAAATTAGTTAGTTTGTTTAGCTTATTTTCTCCAAATCAAAATATCCTGCTACAGTCTTGAAAAAGCACTACAAAGACGAATCGACATGGACTCGCTTAGGTGTTACATTACACTTCACACATGGCTTAGTGGCATGTGGCGCCTGGACTGACTGCTGGCATACATTATGTAATAATCTACTGCAGGTGCATGCAGTTGTGAGATGAGGATGACTGGAGGTGAGACAAAAACTGTTCTGGTTAATTATCGCTCAATGGTCCCCCCAAATGGGAGTTGTATTTAAGTTTAAAGGTAAAAATTATATAATTGATGTAAAATCAAAGTTACTTGACCCGCCTCCACTAGCCATACTTATGCCTGAGTCACATATCCACTGATGATTAGTTTACGATGTCCGAAAAGGCTGAAAATCGGCAAAATTGAGAGTTACCCAACTGGGCGCCAGACGATCATCTGTAAGCATTAGCCATGTTTTTGACATCGGGAAGACCCCGGTGGACACATCGGAAGAAAATAACTCTGAGTTATTTTCTTGCGGCGACCGGGTGGTCCACACCCCCTTCAGTAATGGATCTGTGACACATCTTCCGGCAGCCCACCAGTGACCTCCCAGGCACCTGCCAGACCGTGAGGGAATCGGACGAATCTTGCAGTGCGCGGGTGTGGTATGGTCATCGGAGGGTAGCCGAAAGGTCATCTGCCGGGAATTAGTCAATACTCGGAATGTTCCCCTCCGGTGACCGGACGATTGAGCCAAGTCGTAAGGTGACCAACCGGAGTCCGGGCAAGCATCGAGCAGGCGCCTATCGGGTAACATTCATCGGACACCGGAAATGTTGACTGACGTGCCTGTTCCGGAGTTTATATAATGGGCTGAATCGGATGAATAGCATAGAATGACTTCAGGATGCCTGTCCCTCCACACACACTCATGAGACTGGCCTGGCTCCGTATGCAGTACGCTAGAGCCGAAAGCTCCCTTTGCCTTTTCACTCTTCATCTTCGAAGTTGTTTCAGACACTACAAATTTACAAAATCAACTCAAATGTAATATAGTTCTTGCAGCAATTTCGACGGCGAACGCGAACTATGATCGGCCGGGCACTGTGCGGGCCCCTTTTAATACGAGTAGGAAACGGGCTGTGTTCATCCGGGCATCGAGGATAATCTCCCAATACCCGGACGGTGCCCGTCCGATGTAAACCAAGTCGTGCGGTGCCCATCCGGGCACCGTCCGGGTATTGGGAGATTATCCTCCGATTCCCGCCAGATGACCGGTCAGTCACTGGACGGTATAAGCCTACCGTTGTTTTTTCAAAATTCTTCGGACACCCTCCAGGAACCGGCCGATCATCTTTGGTTTCATGACTGCTCACCGATGTGTCACAGGTGTGGGCAAACACTGTGGAACGCCGGGGCATCGGTGAAACCCACCGATGAGAGTGACTTATTTGACTTACATTGAATTCCGGTAATATATCTAGTCAATACCGGGCTCGTGGTAATACACAAACAGCTTGGAGGCCTAATCGACCGTGTTAATTAAGCCACGCCTCCTCGTTAGCGCACATAAGATTCGTTTGTGTTGTTACAAATACTGACTTAAAAATACGTACTTTTTATTAAACGCAATAGCGCTAAGTTTACAGTTTCACACTGTTTTTCTCACCAATCGTATTGTACATCATACTGGCTACATAATGATGTAATATAAATTTATTACATTTGTTCATGATCCTTGCACTATAATCTATTCAAATAGTGGCTCGTTAGACATAAATAAATTGCTGTTCAAAGGTACGATAAACTCGACTAACTCCCTCCCTCTACTGCTGTCTATCTTATCTTTGATTCTTTAGTATATTAGCACTCAGTTGGCAGACGTGGTGACACGTGAAGACGAAGTAAACAGATTCAGTATCTTCTCAGACAAGTGATATGCACATTGCTGAAGAGTTACACAGTTGATAAAGCACAAATACACAAAAACGAATTCGTTGCACCTTGTATGTGTTCCGTGCTCGTTGTGAAAATGGAAGATTAGTAGCACCTAGAATACAAGTTGAACCTCAACCGAAATATAGCCATGTATAGATAGATACATGCTGTTCGTCTCTTGCTGATAATGTCAGGAATGTAACTAATGATCTCTGAAAAGCTGTAACTGTATTAGACGTTTATCTTATTTCAATATATTGTATTTTGTTTTGAGAGTGGCGGCTGATGTACATGAAAATAGATTTGATTTATTAAATAGTTGCTAGTAAATACAAGAAATTGTCGGTTATTATGTTAAAACTCTCTTTTAAAAGTGTACAACTGTGAGATAGAAATGACGTCACTGTGGATCGCAATGGCATAATCAAACAATGGATGACGTCATACGTTTCCTGATCAATAGCTCTTATATGCATTAACTAAAAGGAGTGCTGACAAATATTAATCACAACGAATATATAGTGAATTCGATTTCAATGCAAGATAACCTCTTCCAATTTTCAAACTCAGAAAGAAGAACAACTTTATCAACAATTTGTTTATACACTATGACTAGTCAAGAAGATTTACTACATTCAATCCTTTTAAAATTATTTAAAACAACAAAATCTGACGCACACCCGCAATTTTTGAAAATGTTATATGTATCATAAATCAAACATAGATAAAAGATGATACTCACCTGTATGCGGTGGCAATTGCTGATCTAAGCATACAATGACTACAACGGGGAAAATCCACAGAAAGTACCATACGTTCTTCCGTCCGAACATTTTAAAACGCTAACGTGCCCTCATAGTTGTGGGTAAGCAGGAAGGTAAAAAGGCGTTATCTTTGCAAAACGCACATTGCCCCGAACGAGTTGACGTGGCCATCTTCTTTATCAGTCTGTTATCGTGTGTTACCGTCGTGTAACTTCAACCAGTCCTTCTTATCGGTCCAGGTCGAGCTTGCCCTCTGTCGTCGTGATTTTGTGTGCTGTGGTATATAGGTTATATCATGCACGTTGAATGCACAATGTATACCTCATAATCCCATCACCTCAAGTGAATGTATGGTGGTAAGGTTTAGATGGGTTTACACCATATTTGGCAGTCCGCGTGGTATGTAAGAGAAAGGCCAAAAAGTGGGGCAAGTGGACATGTATCCATTTGGTCTTCCTCGATTATTATCATAAACACCCTGGACCTTTTCGCCACAAAGCTTTCGGAAGTGGCGTAACCCTCTTCCTCTCTAGTATCGCCAGTTTAGCACAGAATTTCTCTCGCCCATGAGCGTTAATTCAACAACCAATGAAAACGTCTCTTCTTCCACATTCGTAAACGCGCCCTTGTTCGACTTCTGTTGAGAAGATTTTCTTGCATTTTGAAAAAGATGGCTGACAGTTTGAAAAAAGCGGACCGTGCTTTTGCAAAGTGTGTTTAAGGGAAAAGCTCAGGAAGTTTATGCTGCAGTCTCGGTCAAAGTTATTTAAAAAATTAAACATGCTGTTTTCATGGGAACATACTTAGGAAGAAAAAATGAAAAAAACCTCAATATTTACACTATGTCGCCCATGGGCGAAGTGTGGCCAATGGGCCGGCCCATGGGCGAAGACTTGCCCATGGGTAGGCCCATGGGCGAGAATATGTTCCTTTACTTAAAACTCATGTTTTTGTTTCTCAAATACATTTAATGTATTCATTCAAGTATCATGACACAAAATGTAACTCATTTTAACTTAATTCAACGATTTTATAGCGATATTGAAATATTTCGCCCATGGGCGAGAAAAAGGTTTGGCCCATGGGCGAGAATATGTTCCTTTACTCAAAACTCATGTTTTAGTTTCGCAAATACATTAAATGTATTCATTCAAGTATCATTAAACAAAATATGACTCATTTTAACTTAATTCAACTATTTTATAGCGATACTGAGATATTTCGCCAATGGGCGAGAAAAAGGTTTGGCCAATGGGCGAGAATATGTTCCTTTACTTAAAACTCATGATTTTGTTTCGCAAATACATTAAATGTATTTATTCAAGTATCATGACACAAAATTTAACTCATTTTAACTTAATTTCATGATTTTATAGCAATATTGAAATATTTTTTGCCCATGGGCGACAATATTTTCCTTTACTCAAAACTTGTGTTTTTGTTTCGCAAATACATGCAGGTGTTCTTACCATTTTCATGGCACATAATGTAACTCAATTTTACTTAATTCAACTATTTTATAGCGTTATTGAAATATTTCGCCCTTGACGAGAAAGGTTGGCCCATGGGCGAGAATATTTTCCTTTGCTCAACAGTTTCAGTTTCGCAAATACGTAAAGGTGTGTCTACAAACATGACACATGATTCAACTATTTTACGGCGTTATTAAAATAGTTCGCCCATGTTTTCGTCAGTCCCTTTAAAGCATCAACTAACTGTGTGCAAAGTATATTGTATCATGTGAAATATACTTATATTATATCATTACATTACTATATAAAAAGCCGCCGTCATATAGCTGGAATATTGCTGAGTGCGGCGTTAAACAACAAACCAACCAACCAACTATATAAAAAGGGCATTTGGTTGGATGTTTCCTTTGAAGAAGTTCTACAAATTTCACCTGTTTTACATATTGTAGCGATCTTAAATGAACCCGGCCTTACCTCTCAAACCGTTTTGACAGTTTTTCATACGAATTCATGTGCGTGTACTCCAATTCATTGGAGTTATTTTCCACAACATTAAAGTTTAGTTAGTTTCTTTTTTTCATTTCCCATTTTATGTCCCGTTGATACGTCACACTGGGCAATTACGTGACATTAGGTATGCAATATACAGGGACGCGTGCGCGTATTTTGATGGAAAAAACTATTCGTCTTTTATTGCATAACGTTTGGCAGAATATCTTACATTCTAACGGAATCTCGAAATAATTATTTAATTACATGCGGTGTCGAACTGACCAGTGGGAATTATGTTTCAATGCAATTGAGGAAAACGTGAGTGAATATTGTGACACTAAAGCAATTTTTAACTGCATTGTCACTTTTGGTATGAAAATGGTAATAGTTAAGAAAAACGCAACAACCTTCTTATGATAATTCTCATATTCTCATTAGTACGTTGTTTCTAATTACAGTGTCGCCCTTATTTACAGGTGATTCTACAATACTTGCTGTCGGTCAGTTACAATCTGCCACAGCACGCGTGAATAAACAGTTATGTACATGTATGTATGTAAGTATATATATATATATATATATATATATATATATATATATATATATTCAATGAGAAAGAATCTTGTATTTTCAAACACCCGGAAGTGATTTATCGCTCGTCTCGCATGTCTCGTTCAGCTTCGTCAAAAATTTGGTTCCAAGTCAATCTAAGAGCGCGAGGAGTTCCCCGTTGAACAAGGGATTCCATTACAACAGCGATGGGTTCATCAACAGTATTAAAAGTACGTATATTGTGCTTTTACACTAAATAACAATGACCACTTTGACAGGTCACGTTACCTTTCATGGCATATGCTGTTGTTTTGAACTAATACTGATGGGCGTAACATGAATGGGCTAAGCCATAATGACTGATAACAAGCCCTTTAAATGTGTGTAAGCGCTATATCTTATTTATTTTAATTCTTGTGTTTTGGGGTATAACGGTAGTCTATAGATGTAATTAAATAATATTATTATTAAGGTTATAGTTTATACTGTGTCACGTATATTGCAACCGTCAATATTGCAAATGTTTTTGGCTATAGATCTAAATAGTTGTTGTTTTTTGGTATAAACCCTAATCATCCACGATCATCCATAAATCTTCCTTTAAATTCAGTTCTGTTTCATAGTTGATTGTGTGTATGTAGTAATCATTATAATTCCAGCGTCGTGCAAAGGATTCCTGTGGCCAGGCTCATGTGAAATCCCACATAACTTAGAGGTAAGGACTATGAAATAAATATGTCGTATTCATGTTCAATTTATCAAATTAATTTTTATCAATGGGTATGGAAGTTACATTAAACTCCAACAATAATTCTGGGTAACATACCATGTAGTTAATGCAAATTATATAAAATATTTTTTTTTAAAAGTCAAAAGTGACTCGGCACAATGTTTGGAGTGTTAAATAGTAGAACTCTTATTAAATTGCATTCACACAATTGACATCTGCATGTTTTTTCTTCACAACATGTATTCTTTCAGATTTATCTGAATTGAGGGTTTCTGCAACAAACTGTTTCTGTGCCATCAGACAGATCGAGCCAGTGCTATGGACATCAGTTTAAATACAATGTATGTACATTGTGTAATAAAATATTTGCGGCTAAAACGATTTGACACTTTTTATCTCTCACAGGCAATTTTAGCATAATTCTATAAGAATGTGCAAGGGATACCATAATCAAGCAACTGTCCACAAATGATTGATAGTTTTGAAAATTCTGCAACATGGACTCTCAAGGATGTTAAGGCTTGTATTTCTCCTATTTATTCAGCTGAAAGCTGACTACAGTTAAATAGGAAAGGGGGAATGTTGAGAGGATTTCTTGTGTGCAAAGAAGTGGCAATAGTAAAGCCTTGTTCTCCCCCACACTATCACCAGGCTGTACAAGATCAAGAAAAATACCAAACACTTCACAGCTTTGTCATCTCAACATCAGATATACCAGCTGTAGACAAACATGATACAAAGTTCACAGCATCGTGAGGGGCTATACCAATCAGGCTTTAGAGTGGGCGGCTAGTTTTGCAAAGGCGGATGGGAATTGAACTTTTATTTCAGTGCAGTTAACAGCACAGTCCTGGGTCTTCCAGGCAAGGAAACAAACAAACATAATACATGCTACACATTTTGGTGGCACTGGGTTGATCAAAATAAAAACATCACTTGAAAGTATCACAGTCAGTAAAGAAATATAATATTGCATGAAACGGGTCTGTTCTAGTTCTTGATACTCCAAAATTCTCAAGAGCCAGATGGTTATTGAGTAGATGGTTCTCCCATTGTTCAACATGGACCTGCATCTCCTTTATTTCAAGATGTGCCTCACACCCCACACTCTGTTTGGAATGGTCATTCCATTCAACCTCATGTCCATCACACCTCCTCCTGGAACCAGTTCCTCCTCACACTACAAACAAAAAAATACTGATTTAATATAAATCCCATCCCATTAGTCGCCTTTTACGACAAGCATAGTCACCTTTTACGGCAAGCATGGGTTGCTGAAGACCTATTCTACCCAGCCGTCTTCACGGGTACCCCGACTGTGGATACGGCGTGACTGTGTCTAATACTGTTCTGTCTGGTACTGGTTGATTTGTTTATAGACGGAACGGATAATGCTGTAATATGTTAACTGCGACGTAAAACATCATTCAGTCGACCAAAGCAGATTCCTCCGTTACTCTCGACCCACTAAATAACGATTATGGTTTCTTAACCAGAAAAGGAGCCTGATCATACCAACAAGTAAAAGTTACGTGCTGACCTCTTCACCTTGCAACCCCCTATACACGGAAGATAAGTACATTTACAACTGACAGTATTGTGCTCTTACGTGCTTTATAGCTACGTGCTTTATAGCTTCATTCCAGCATGCTTATGTGTTACTTTAATTTTATTAATTATACAAACATTGACAGATCGTCAAACCAATCTGAGCTGAATGGGAATGGTGTTCATACGTATCACCACCAGTTTTTTGTTTGAGTAATATTTCCATATATATATATTTAAGGATTGACTGTGTATTTTTTCGGTTCATTGAGGTATGTAGCGAAAAACCGATGTGCAAACTGTATGAATCCGCGTAGCGGATTCTTACAAAAGTTTGCTCATCGGTTTTGTAGCGGATTCATACAGTTTGCACATCGGTTTTTCGCTTCA